GTCCCATACAAAGTTTATATCCATTAATTATTTTGTATGCAATTGTTGTTTCCCATGTTATTCTCTTTTATGGTCATTGTCTTTTACTTCTTTTTTTTTTTTTCTTTTTTCGAGTTGCTATCATTTTGTTATTACCTCGAAGCACTAAGGTGATATTTGTTTTAAGAATTATGCTTAGTTTAGAATCACGATTCTTTTATGGTTGTTGTCTTTTACTTCTTCTTTTTTTTTTTTTGCCGAGTTGCTATCGTTTTGTTATTACCTCGAAGCACTAAGATGATGTATGTTTTAAGAATTCTGCTTGGTTTAAAATCACGATTCTTAATTCTGCTACAATATTTTTCTCTCATAAAAAATTTAAATTTTAAAAATCAAAATTATAAACTATAATTTTAAAGGCATAAACCAAACTGCAATTGCTGCCCGCCAAGCATGTGCTTATTTCTCAGCTCCAACTTCTCAAAAAATGAAAGCTCCAAGCTTTTTATCTTGCTCGTGTATTAATAAAAAGAAGGTATTGTAAAATACCTCATTTTTTTTTTTCCTTTCTTTTCTTCTACAACCCTCGAACCTCTGAGCTGGTGGAAGGATGTTGCACACCCAACCGCCTAGGCTACTAAGAAGGCTGTGCTAGGTATTGATAATATTATTTACATATAGTAAATAAAGGAAAATGTAAAGAGAGAACTTTTTCTTCCTCCTCTCCAGTTTCCACCACCCTTGAACCTTTTGACGTTGAGGAAAGCGATAACAAGCCCAACCACCAAGGCACAAAGAGGATTATGGCAAACTTTGCATCACTCTTCTTTAAAACTTGAAGAATTTGAGGATTGTTTTTTTGTATGACTTAAATTATAACTTGAGTTGTGTATGTGGGAGAAAAAGACCGTAATAAAAAAGTTAAATTTAAATTTTTGTGAGAAAAAACACTGTAATAATATGACTTAAGTCATGAAAAATATATAATGAGATATTAAAATCAGTAGTATAAATGCAAAGCTCAAAGATTTTAATAACATACCATATAATTTCCTCTTTCTTGTTTATTTCTTTGTTCAACCAATAAAAATATTGACGCGTAACTATCATTTAAAAGCAACTGGCAACACCGTTTACTCTTTACTGCATTACGATTAAGTAATTTAAGCCTTTTTCTTTTTTGTTAGCTTCAAGTGAAGTCCCAAATACATAGCAACCTTATTTCTCTTTCTCTCGTATATTTTGTTTATTTTACAGTCTCAACCCAATCGTAGAAAGTTATTGGCTTAAGAAAATGTAAGTAGACATTACCTTTGCTGGCCGAAAAAAGAGGCCTACAACCTCTGCTGGATACTTCAAGGTGTCTGTCGTTTTCAACTTTTGTTTCGTTTACAATATTGTTGTCGTTTTACATTTCATCTTCGTTTCATTGGAAGTTTTTTTGTTATTATTGAAAAGCGTCATCGTCGTTTCATAGTTGTTATCATTTATCAGGTTCTTTTTCCAAGTTGGCATCATTTCAATGTTTGTCGATCACATTCGTGTGTGTTTACAAGGTTGTTGTCGTTTTTCAGGTATGAGAGATTTTTTTATTTTAAAAAAGCGGTGATGTCAATGTAGTTTCCTTTGCCGGTGGAATGACTGAGATGCCTTGAGATGAAGTGGATTTACGTGGGTTTCTACTGTCCGCATAAAGGGCAAAAAATTATTATTATTATTATTTTTTTAAAAATAGTAGAAAGAAAAAAAGGTATTTTAGAATACCTCTTTCTTCTCCTTTTTTCTTCTCCTCTTCACAACCCTTGAACCCTTGATCTTGTAGTGGGTGACAACACGCCCAACCACCCAAGGCACAAGGAAAGTTGTGACGATCATTGCACTGCAATTTCATAAATATTAAGGATAATCAAGTGCCATCATCTTATGCCCGATAACTTGGAAAACTTTTTTATTTATCCTAAGAAAGGCGAAAATAATGCTCGGGCAAAATAGGAATATTGAAATAAAAAATGTGGGGTTTTGCAATACCTCTTGTTAACCTTTATCTCTCATATATTTATTATTTATTGTCTCGTTTTGAAATAGTAAAACTTATTTGCCTTTTTTCACTTCTTAAGTACATGAAGTTGTTGACTATAACGGAGAAAGTTTTTTTTAATAAGGGCGGTAGTTTCACTACTCGATCTATTTTTATTTTATTATTTGATGTTAAAGCCGTTTGTATGCTTTCAGAGTGTGTGGATTTCTTAGTTCAGTTAGAATTTTTCTATGTTGTGTTACTAATGACTCTCTTTATGAGGATTAGTGATCTGTCTTTTAAGAGTTTATAACTCTATCTCGATAGGAGGGGTTTCTTTAATTAGAACGTTAAGTGTGCTCGTTATTAGTATGTTGAGGTTTTTTTTTTCATTTTTAGGCCTCAGACGTGCGTTTGTTCTTCTGATGTGTCATTGTATTGTATTAGGTTGTATGTTTCTTAATTTTTGTTTAAATGCAAATTTCCTTAAAAAAAAAGATTGTTTACTATAATGTTATAAGTTTTTTTTTTTTCTTTTGTCTCTTGCTTGTAGCAGCCGAAAAAAAGTGGCCTATGATCTCTTCTACGCTTCTGCCTACAAAAACATCTATTTACATATGTAGTAAAATTAAAATATAACAAAATTTTAAAACATAAAATTTAATGTCATTATATAATTAGTTTTTTAGGAATGACTATAATTATATAGTACAAAACGTAATACTATTTTGATAACTTATGTATTTTTTGTTATTTTTATAATATTTTAAAATATTTATTAAATTTCAATTTAAGGTATAAATTTTTTCCAAATAGTGTAATTATCTCAAAAGAGTTAAATGCAAATAGGACTTTCTGAAAAAAAAAAAAAAAGAAAAAAAAGAGGCTAAATATGGACATTGCCTTGTAAAGCTAAATATGGAAGATCATATTTCCAACCTTCCAAGTAAAAATTTGGCACTTAATGTTGTAATAAATAAGATAATTAATTAAAAAAATTATGACAATTAATAAGATAATATTTTTATGACGTTACGTCATTAAATTACTATATTTAATAATAGTCACAGCTAAAAACGTAACCATTAAAAACTCATCACTACATATAATTTATACATATATATGGGCGTATAAATTGTTCTCTCTCAATCACTTTTTGCTTTCATTCTATGTTTTCCTCAGTGTGTCGCCCTAAGGTTTTTCGTGATCATGATGAGCAAGAATTTCAACTTGAGTTCTTTCTTCTTTCTCAGTTTTTTTTTTCGTCATACGTCCACGGCTTCAAAGTAGAAAGATCTTTCACGTTGCTCGGATTATAAAACATAATTTGACATTCTCTCAAGCACAATCAGAATATATTCTCAACTACAAACCAGACTATCCTATGTTAGAAATTGGAACAATATAGGAACTGGAAAAAAAAAAAAAAAAAAAAAAAAAAAAAAAAAAGGGAAAGGAAAAAAAAAAAAAAAAAAAAAAAAAAATGGCTCCCTTTGCTCATTAACATAAATGATAGAAATCATTCTTCTATTAGACTTGCTTCTATTACTATACTAGTAGAAGCAATCTAAACACTATTAAGACTTTCGTTTCTAATATGGCACATCAGCAATTGCAGGCCACACATACATTGATACATTGTCAAAAATACACTTTACAAGTTCTGTTTAATTCGTTGATTTGAGTTTTTAATTTGAGTTGAGATATAATTTTGTGTGAGAATTTTTTATTATAGTAAAAAAATTAAATGTGATTATTTTTAAAAAAATTTTATTGTAATAAAACTTAAATTAGTAAAATGAACCGGATATAAAAAGTACTGTTGTTTTTTTTTTTTTTTAGGAAACACGTTGCTGTCGTTTAGTTATGCCTTTTATATCCATGTAAAAAATTAAATTAAAAATAAGGATTACCACCTATTTATTTACCTTGTTTCAATATGCTCTTGACTTTTCAAAACGCTTTAAAACACTCCACGATTTATAAAAAACTGATCAAAATGCCCTTCTATTCATTTCTGTCTATAATCCAAACTGATTGCTGATGTGGTACTAATTTTAAAACGTTAAAACTTAATTAAGCTAAAAAACGGGATTGATTACTAAAAATTATTATTATTTTTTTAAATCTGAAATCTAAAGATTTCTCAAAGCACCCAAACTTATGAACACCAAGCAGCCTCCACCCCTCCTCTCGATGGCGACAGCCCCTTCTTCCGGAGGCGACCAAGCTTGCCTCCCTCCACTGCGCTGGCGAGATACTAAGGCAAGGGCGTTAGGTCGTCGACGCTCGGAGTCGCAGGAACGAAGGGCGGTGACTTGGGCTCGTGGTTGAGAATCTCGCAGGACGGTGGTTCGGGTCCTAGTGAGGAGGCACGATAAGCCATATCTATTGCCCTCAGATGTACTAGACCAGATGCTTGGAAGTCGCGACAATCTATGTCTCCCATCGCCGCCGCCGCAAGTGCCAGCCGCCAAGGAGAACCTGGTCCGCAAGTTCCAGCCGCCAACGAGAACCTGGTTACTAATCTTTCTCTCCCAAAACCTTGTACATCTTGGCCTTCTATATATAACAAGGAATGCGCAGTGCAGTCTTTTGATTTTGAGAATGACGATGATGGGAAATGTGGTCATGGGTCTTCTTCTTGTTTTGATTCAATTGGGTTTTTAGTTTTTGTATTTTGATTATTTGTCGTTTTGAACAAAACTCTGTTTTTAGATTTGGTTTGTTTATTGATTTGGTTTTTGTATATTGATTCTTGTTTTGATTATTCGATTGGGTACACGATTATTATTTTTATTTTGTATTAAGTTTTATATTTTATTTTTTTATCTGATTTCATATAAGGTTAATTGGGTTTTTATGAATAAAATAGGGCTTACTTGATACATTTTTTATATATTATAGGATGTTTTGAATCGTTTTAAAAAATCAGGAGCATTTTGAAATAAAGTACATAATTCGGGGGTTTTATGAAAATAATCCTAAAAATAATAAGCTCATGCTTTTCCACGCTCGCTTATCTGCAATGGCAGCCCGTCAAGCATGAGCTTTATTTCTCAGCTCTGGCGTCTGAACAATGAAAGCTCCTTCTTCTTCGTCTTATGCTTCAACAAGCTCTCATCTTTCTCGTGTCTTTGCTCCGTTTCGTGGATTTAATTCCTCTGGACCTAATAATAGAAATTCGGTCACTCTCCTCAGGCCAAGCAAACGCAATTCCCTTTCTTTGAGCTCCCGATTCAAATCCTCTCGATTGCTCACAGTTTCGGCTTCGAATTCCTCTCGATCGGCGTCTTCCGGCGCTGAATCGGTGAGCCAAATCGGTTCGTCGGAGGCGGCGGAGGGTTCGAATGAGGCAGTTGCCGGCGATAAGGTCGAAGCGTCGCAAGGGGGATTCCATGTGGGGGTGGGAAACCCTAGCCTTCCAATCCCATCGGTGGCGAAATTGAGCTTGAGCGACCAGGCTTTCTTTCTCCTTGCCTTCATTGCCTGCACGGTATTTCTTCTTAATCGTTACTTCGGCTCTCAAATTTTTGCTTTTCTTCGCTTTTTTAATGTTTCCTCGATTTTCTTGATTATCAGCTGTTCATTTTGCAATTAGAATTGAGTTTAATTGTATTTTTGGAAAGCAATTTGCGACCTTTATTTTATATGCGCCATCTTTATAAACAGTAACGATTCATTTTTTTTCCCTTTATCAATTTAGTTATTTTTCGTTACTTATGATAAAGCATGGTTTCATTGAATTTCCGCAGACTTCCGTGGCATTTGCAAGCCTTGCAGTTGCAGCTGTACCAACTCTCTATGTAAGTTGTCTACTCTTTTTGGATCTCTCTGAAGTCAAACGAAATGAGAAAATCAATATCTTGAGCAACCCAAAACTTTTTTTTGCATTTCAAAGTTAAAGGAGTGAGAGAGAATATTCCTAACTTTTAATGCATTTTCTTCTTTTTAATTCAACTCTTGAAACCCTGCATTGTCTCTATAAATTATATGTCTGTGTTAGGCTCCTTGATCAAAAGACATAGGCATCGTTTAGTTCACTGACTTAAACCATGACTTTACTCTCTCACAACAAATTTGAATCAAAAAAGTTCCTGCTAATGGGTTCTCTCACAAAATTTGAATTCAGAATCAAAGTCACAGACTTGAACCCATGAACCAAACGGGCCAATAGTTATCAGTTAACCCATAGTTAAGCAGTTAATTATCATGCAAGTATCAGCTCTGGCATTTTGTCATATTGGATTCTGCAGTGAAATTTTTGCTCGCACTATGAATTGAGGTCTACAAGCTATGATGGAGCGTTTATTTTTTCTCATTTCTGGTTACCAACATACTTGATCTCTTGTGTATCCCATAGGCAATGGGGAGAGCGGCAACGTCTCTCTCAAAGCTAGCCGATACAGCTCGCGAGGAGCTTCCCAGCACAATGGCGGCAATTAGGCTCTCGGGAATGGAAATTAGTGATCTGACCCTGGAATTAAGTGATTTGAGGTGAGACTTGTCCTATATTTTATATTGTTTCTCATGGTATTATACCTTGGGCTTTTAGAGACCTTAAATGAAATCGCACATCTGCGTTATGATAGTTGTTCCCCTTTCATTTCTGCACAGACACAATTAAGAAACGTGAGTAAGATCAGGGTCTGTTTGTTCTGCAGAAAGGCACAAAAGTAAGGCTGTGTTCAGTAAGAGGAAAAGAAAATTGAAAGGAAAGAAAGGCATATAACCTAGGTGAGGAAGATAGAGAGGAAGGGGAGAACCTTTCTTTTGTTATGTTTGGTATGGATTCCCTCCTCTAATCCCTTCATATTGGGAGAGATTAAAAGTTAGGTTTTTTAAAGGATTTGAAACTCCTGGCCCACTCCATTACCTCGTCTTTTCCCTCCTACCCCTTACACTAATCCTCAACCCTCTTCCTCCTTCCGAACAAGCTCTAAAGAGTTAAACTCCAGAAACAACAGAACAGACTTTTTTGGGATTTAAAATAGCATATGAACAGATTTTCTAGGAAGTGTTAGTACATAAAGTCATTAATTATTGATGATTCTATCTTATTCTTCTAACTTTATGTGTCTAACCTCCATTTATCAGGGATGATTTTTGTAATTCTTTCCGATTAACATAATTTTTATTTTGCTTTGAACAGCCAAGAGATAGCTGATGGGGTCAGCAAATCTACTCAAGCTGTGCAAGCAGCAGAGGCTGGAATTCGACAGATCGGTGCGCTTGCCCGGCAACAGACCATGTGTATGTTTAAAGCTATATCTGTTTGCAATAATGACATTCGCCGCTGACTTACATTTAATTAAGACGTTGTCATTTGCTGCTGAACTATGATAAGTTTATGGGTTATTTGATACAGCGATGATCGAAGAGAGGGCAAGCCTGCCTATCATCTCTTTGCAACCCGTCGTTGTTGGTGCAGCTAAGAAGACTTCTCGTGCTGTTGGCCAAGCCACAAAAACCTTTATGAATATGATCTCTAGAGGGGAATTTAGCCTTGAGAATGAAGATGACAGTGGAATTGATAGAGTGGATTAAGTTTGCTTCGCTCCTACTTATCAGTTCTGCTATCTGTTCATAAACCGTTTGTGCACAAATGTTGGGAAATCCATCTCCATTTCTTCCAATGAGTTTCATGCCTGGTTTCTTTTTGTATTGCAAATTCAAGCAGGAGATGAAACACTCCATAAGCCCTATGTGCCCATTGTCTGATATACCCTCGTAGGTTTTTTTTTTTTTTTCCCCCCTTAAATAACTTTTTCATTATTTGTATAGTATGTAAAGACATTTTTACTACCTGGTATGACGATAGCATCACAACCCAAATCAAGTTGGGCGAAATTTCCAAGACTGGCTTGCACGTGTCTATTATCTTTCTGAAATATTCTCAACATTTGTTTTATTTAAGATCCGTTTAATTTACGCGTTTAAATTATGATTCTGATTTTGCTATAGTGTTTTCTTTCACAAAAAATTTAAATAAAAAAAGTTATCATGTGGAGTCTCTCATAAAATCAATTTGAATTCAGAATTAAAATTATTGATTTGAACTCATAAACCAAATGGGCCCTTTAGTTTTGTAAATAAATCCCATTGCCCTTTAGTTTTATAAATAACTAGGAAAAAAAAGTTATAGAAGCTTCGTTCATTTCACCGATTCAAGTCTTTAATTTTAAGTTTTTATAGTTAAAAACTCTCAAAAAGTGTTATATCTCACTTTTTCTGCTACAATTAAAAGCTCAATTAAAATGTCATATTTCAATTCGAATTGAAAACTCGAATTCGCAAAACGAAGGAGGTTAGACCTTCCATAGACGTTGGAGAACTTGCACGATGAACGGCATGGTAGCGATATTAGAAAAAGAAACGATTTCTAATAAAGATTAGCTATTGACCTATTGTAGGATTGTAGCTGGATTCTTGGATTGCCTTTATATCCGTTTTCAAGCGAAGTTGTTCTCTCTTTAACCAAAACCAAAAAATTAAAGGCGAAATTGTTCTCTCTACACAGTTAAATATAAGTTATGGAGAGGTTTTGAGTCCCCGACCCTAAGTGTTTTAAAAAAAAAAAAAAAAAAAGTAGTAAAATTTCCTGCTTCCAAGATAAAGAAGGAATAAAAAATAGAAATTTGTATTCCTATAATTTCGTCGTTTGTTTTCTAACAATTTAATAGGGAGCTTGTAAAGTTCTGTGTATGTAGTTCCACCACCTTTTAACTTTCGTTGTCAAAGATTTGAAAAACTTGATCCTTTTAGATATTTTGGTAAAATCACGCCCATGAATTCCATGCAATTATTGAATGACTGATACAGTACTCGTCACATCTAATAACAGAACTTCTTTACTCAAAAGGCATGTACGTACTTTAAAATATTGCATAGATATATTAATAGACGTATCCTAACGTACTATACATGAAGAGTTATATAAAAACCTAAACAACCGAAACGAAACGTTTCGTTATTAATGATGCTACGTGATCTTGGTTTTATTTCTTGGGGGTACAATTAAAAAGATCACGAGTTGTACCTGTCCACAAACTCATGTACTTTTTTAGCATCGGCTCTATTAGATACATAGTAGCTACGGAAATCTTTGTATTGAAAGGCTCGATAGAGAGGCGGATTATTGGAGGCATCCGCTAAAGTCGCTGCTGGCTTTATAAGACTGTCGTTTGAAGGGTAAATAAACAATGATGCCGTCGTTCGAGGAACGCTTGAATTCGTCACCACTCGATGTTCTACACCTTTCAGCTTTCCGTTTGAAATGACCTATACAAACACGTGTCTTGACTATTTAAGTACCCCACACATAGATTTTTTTTTCATGAGATATGTACAAGTCAAAGTATAGATTTGAGTTGATCTTAAAAATCGTCCCCAAACTTTATCCATCCATAATTGACGTTTAACATATTTCAAACTTGAAGTTTCAGCCATTCGATCAGTTCGATATTCAAAACAAGAAAAATAAATAAATAAATAAATAAAAAATAAGAGGATATGCACGAGATGCTAACAAAATGTTAAAAAAACAATACTGTTTTAATCAAACATGGAACGTTATGTGATTATCATGATGAAAAATAAAACTATGCTAATGAAACAACATTCATGTTTTATCCTCTTTTTAACGGTTATTGATAGGAGGGCTAAAACTGAAATAAATTGATAAAACGAGATTAAGTCTAAGACGTATTAAAAGTTAAGAGACATTTAAAATACGATTGAGAGTAAATTTTTGAAATGACTTGTGAGATTAACCCTATAGTTTTTTACTGTGCAACTAATATATAATAATGATATATTGATTAGTAAGTTTATATAGTATTAATTTTACTTACGTACCTGTAAAATATAGCCAATGTTAACGATAAATGCATGGGGAAGAGGCTCGACAACAACCCATTGTCCATCCTTGGAAACTTGAAGGCCAGGCACATTCCCTTGAAGAAGAATGGTGATAAGGCTAGGGTCGCTGTGTTTTGCTAATCCCAAGGTTAAACTTGGCTCTGGACAAGGTGGGTAGTGATTAACTAATACAACTGGGTTTTCACTAAGCTCGCCGCTGAAATACCCGGGACTTAACCCTAATCCTTGGATTATCAACTCCAAAATCTTGTTAGCCAACTTCCTTACTTCCACTGTATATTTTCCAACAATCTCTCTGGAAAAGTATAATTAATGACCAATACATGAAGAGAGCAAAAGAAAAAAAAAAAAAAAAGAAATCAACTCAAGTATATCAAGGCCTTGCTTGGTAAACCTTGTGGTTTTTTAATTATATAGCCAACGTTTTTGACGAAAACATGATAATATTTTGCTTAATTAGAATATATAAAAGTTGATATTTAAAATGTGGACTTATTATTTTATATAAAAACTAAAAGGAACCAAGATGGTTTATGCAATCTGCTAGGAAAATAAATTAGATGCTATTTGATTCATAGATTCAAACCAAGAAGTACGTTAAAACAAATTCAAATTCAAATTTTCACAAGAGAAAACATTATAGTAAAAAGGTATGAACAATGGTTTAAATATGTGAAATGATACCTTAATACTTGAAAATATTAACAATTGTACGCAAGTTCGTACGTACCTGTACCGAATGGGATTTTGTGGCCAAAACTGCATGTGTTCATCTAGAGGATGACAAGGGTGTACCAATGCATCTCTCCAATAATGAAGCTCTTCAGTTGGGAAGTTTTCGCTGCTTGTGTAGAGCCTACATGATATCTTGTTCGGATCCTTGGAACATTCTCTTGCTTTGTCTTTTGCAGGCATCGCATGAAACTCCTCAAAAACTTTCATTGTCTCATCCACTAACTCTTTCGAAACTCCATGGTTTATCACCTATATGTACATATAGTAACGAATTAAATTTGGTCATGAGTTAAATATAACATGAAAGAAAAAGGAGAGATATATATATAGATAAGACTTGGCCGTCGTGTTGAGAGACCTGAAAAATTCCATACTCTTGACCAGCTTTCAAGATTTGCTCAATGGTAGAAGTTGGATCGTGATCGTAATTTGAAAGATCAATCACCGGAATTGTCTTGTCCAGCGGGAAATTGAGCTGACCGGGTCTTTTTTCCGGCGGGAAAATGTAAGATTTCGGTAACGTCCGAGCAGTACTAGACCAGTTGGAAACAAGACCCTCCATGTTGTAAAAAAAAATGGTTCGCTGGTGATATAATTGAGTTGTATGGAAGAATGAAATTCAAAGAAAAGAAGATATATATATATATATATATATACACACACGCATACACACATACATAAGCAAATATAATATTTAAAGCTTGCAAGGCATTGACTTAAAAATATTTTAATTAAATTATTATGCCTATAGCTACAAGCATATTGCTCATGATAATGTATCTAAGCTAACCATACATGCATCTACAGGCTGCAGCTAAAAAAGTATTGTAATACCAAGAAATATTCAAGGAACAACTTGCGGATTGCTTTCTCTTTGTTTAAGTTAATTATTTTTTTTAATATATTTTTTGAAGGTCCTGGATTTGCGTTTCCGTGATTACATTGCCATTACACATAAAAAGGTAAATAATTAGAAAACCACCACGCCAGAAGCTTTGTGAAAGTAGTATGAATACACCTTTTATTTTCTTGACTTGGCTTGACTCACTCTATCTTATCAGGTTTTGTTGATTATTTCCATAATTTACCATTTCCCATTTTTCACATTAGCGAAAGGGTATTATTCAACAAAAAAAAAAAAAAATAATAATGATATTGACTAGGAAAAAAAATCCATGAATTGTATAGTAGCTCCCTGTTTGGTTTCCATTTCAAAGTTATTGGTTTTCCAGTCAACATTATAGTTTTTTATTTTTATTTTTTTTTTGCTCTGAAAGTGGATATTATTTTGTTAAGTTCTCTTGAATACTATTCAATTTCTTTGAACTTCTATAAATTTTTTCGTTTGCTTCAGCTAGTGAAACTCATGATTCTGTTTTTCCTTATTATAATGTAATACGGAATTCCCTTTCATATCTGCGTGCATCATAAGTGCATCATTTTATTATGTATATGCATGGACATTATTTTAAGAAGATATTACGTGCTTAACAAATGTTTCAGAAAGGTGTATTTGGTGCAAAGTGATATCCTTATTTTCAGAAATCTAACTTGGAGAGAGAGAGGTAGATTGATCATATATATTTCCAATATCCTCGAAGGGTACTAAGAAAAGGACCTTATAAATATAAAATTCTACACAGAATTCATTTAAAAAAAAACAAAAAACAGTAGTCGAATTCGTGCAACATTATTTTTTAACAGCACATAGATAGACCAAGAATTTTCCAATATGATTCTAAATTTAATTTAATTTATAGGGGAAAAAAGTTGATATGCGAGGACTTTAATCGATTTATAAGTCATGAATTATCTCGCTTAGAACTATCATGACACATTTATTGAAAAGGAAAGAAAACATAAATTATAAAATTAGCCATAAAGGTAGGTTCCAGTCACACGTTATAATATTTTTCTTTCTTCTATTTGTTTTTTTTTTTTTGAAAGAAAAAAAAGTTCCTTAAGTTGACTATCGTCCATACGTTGCGTGTAATTTCAAATACATACCACAACAAGGATATACAGGGTTTTTCCCTTTCCTATGTATATGAAATATTAATTGGATTTTGATAGTTTAAGTAATTATTGTTTATACCCTCCCTCAAAAGAAAAAAGTTAAAGGGTCCGTTCGGTTTGCTAATTCGAGTTTTTAATTTGAGTTGAGATGTAATGTTGTGTGAGAGCTTTTTACTGTAGCAAAAAAGTTAGATGTAACTGTTTCTGAGAGCTTTTTACTGTAGCAAAACTCGAATTCTAAACTCGAATCAGCGAAAAGAACGGGGCCTTAAGTTATTGTTTATCTATTGATGATGAACATTACTAGGCACCAACACTTAAACAAAAGAACATCAAAACACAAGTCCGCATCAAAAACATTGCAGCTAAGACCTAAAACTTTTTGTAACAGTTTCTTTCTTATGAATGCTACTTATTTATGTGATATAATATGATACATAATATCAAAAAGTCTCTCTCTCTCCCTAATGAAATGTCTAATCCAAATTGTCAACGGGTTGATCTAATCCACTAATTAATTTTTTTTTCTCTTAAAAAGAATTGGGGGAAAATAATGTGCTGGCACGACGAATCTCAGTCATGGCAATGTTCATTGCCTTTGAATGAATTATCAAATAAACTTTTTTATTGACTTAAGAAAAGTATATATGAATAGACAGTTTACCTAATGATGCTTAAAAGAAGAAAAAAAAAAACGAAGGAAAAAAATCAGCCAACTGTTTTAAAAATTTTCCAGTGCATAAATTGCAAGTGGCGTATGATCGTCTATTTGGTTTTCATTCCGAGTGTTTGAAGCTGAAGAATATAAACATTGCTAACAAGTATGTAAGTCTGATTTTTACGCAAGTATTATAAAGAGTGTTACAACACTTTTAACAACACTTGCAATTAACAATCAAGTTCTGAAGTGATCAACGGACAATGAATTGAAATGTGCAGAAATAAAAAGTAATGCAGGAGAAAATTAAAGAACACTAAAAAATGATATCACAGTTTGGTGCGCACACCTATATCTGCGGAGCCACAATCAAACAGTGAACAATCCACTAAGATAAAAAATTTACAATCACCAATCGGTCTTACACACTCAAAGACTCATTCCTTGATGTTGTCACTGCTGTGAATAATTCTCCTAGTGGACTTGTCTAGCGAGCGTCACTCATCTTTGAAAGCTTTCTCCCGAAAGCAATACGTCATCCTCCTGAAAAACAACTTTTTGCTATTGCATCTCAAAGAACATGAAACACAAGACTTTTTCTGCAGAATACTTCTTTCAAAAGCACCTCATGTTGATGGGTACATTCCAGAATATACACACCACTAAAGTAGTCAACAGCCCCATGTTTTCTCACGAACAAAAACACCATAAACAAGACAACTTCTCCTCTAAGGATTCTTCCTATTCATAGAGTCCATCAATTAGCTAACAAAGTCAACCAAATCAATTAGAATTACTTGGCAATCAAATCCCTGAAAGCAACCCTTCCAAAAACTAATTTTTATCAACAAAAACATTTCATTTCGGAGCAATCAAACAACCAAAATCGCCTCTAATATTCTCCATAAACACAAGTTGCCAAATATACCTATTTTTTAATTTTTATAACTAATGCCAATAAATTACCAACTAAAGTCTTAACAGAGTATATAAGAACCCATCAATATTATTTTGTAAGTGTTACAAGCAAGAATATTTTGCTCGACTGATCAGCAAAGATAAATATTCATTAATCTCACCTCATAAGGAACCCCCCAAAGATTTTTATCATTAAAACTATTCAGACAAGCTTTTGAAAATTATCAGTGATCATCGTAAGCATGCGATTAGATTCAACATATTATCGTGCACTCTATATTTAAGACATGCAAATTTAATTATATAGTCATATTTTTTTTTTTAATTACAATGCATCCTTACCATTAATTAAGACATGCAAAAGTCATGTTGTAGGATATTTCACTCTGTAAACGTTCGCAGTAGGATCTGTTCAGCAATTTTGTCTTCAAAAATTGACACTAAACCCGGCTGGGTATGACTTTTGAGAAAAACCGGGATCAACTCTCGAATGAGCCCATGGTCTTAACAATTAAGGTGATGTTTGGTAAAGGATTCGTTTTCTAATTCGAATCATGATTCGTGATTCGCTATAGTATTTTCTCTCACAAAAAATACACATAAATCAAAAATAATTTTAATTCATGAACCAAACGGACTCTAAATGTGTTATAAAAGAGTTAGGGGTGCGCATAAAACCCACCGCCACCCACCTCTAATCCGTCCAATTTGTTTACATCGTTTGGGTGGTTTTTCGGGTTGGGATCTTTTTTATCTCCCTTTTTTTTTTTTTGTGGGGAGGATCGGTCCTCCTTCCCATTCCATGCATAGACGATAGCCCTATAGTCTATCAGGTTGTTGTCGTTTTTCACATTCTAGCAGTCTGTTGTGTCATGTCGTTTTTCATTCATTGCCGTTTTAAGAAAGAACAAATAAAATCTTTCTCCTACCGTTTACGCTGGAAAACGGCATGCCGTTTAATGTTTTGCTTTCTTTTTAACTTTTGAGTAGATAAACGACATGCTATAAAGTACTAGTCTCATATTATTTTTGTAAGTTGTCCTATTTCTGTAACCATTTCCTGTCGTTTGTTTGAAAATCGATGTGTTTTTTTGCATGAATTAACTGACTTTTCCCACGAATAAATTCGATAGAAATGAATTCCGATTTGCTACAACTCTTTTTTTTTTTTTTTTTTTTCTTAGACAACTCTTATTTTCCTTATCAGCGGCTGATTGCCTATTAGAGTTGTTTCTGAAAGACCAAGCCATTGAAACTCAAAAATAGGGTCATGAACAACGAGAATTTTGACTCCATCGAGCCAAATCTCAGTTGTCCTACTCTACATCAGTTTCGTTCATGGCATTTTGTCGTTTATTATGATTATTGTCGTTTTTATATTCCTCTCGTTCTTATTTTATGTTGTTTACTGTGATAGTTATCTTTCCACAGTTCGAATTGTTTCACAGCCCAGTGTCATTATCTTTTCATTTTAAGCCCCAAAAAGAAAAGAATCGAAGACATGTCGGTGGATATTTTATGTGCTAATTGTCGTTTCTGACATTCCTGTCATTACTTATTTACGTTGTTTACCCTAATTGTTGGGTTGTCATCTTCAGGTTCATGTAGATTTTAATTTTTTTTGTCGTTGATACTTAGTGTCGTTTATTAGGTTGTTGTCGTTTACTGATAGTTGTCGTTTTTAGTTCGTGCCGTTTTCAAGTCATCAATGTCGTATTGATAAATATTTATCGTTTTTGCCAAGTATGCTGTTGCAAAACGAGGAAACTGAAAGAGCACAGCAAATTCCTTTTTCATACACAAAGTAGAGATCTCCAAACTTTGAGAAACATAAACCACACTTTCTTAAACCTACTAAAAGAGCAAACATTTCCCGTTTCCTCAACTGAGTTGTGAATTAAATTGTACTTAAGTCTAATTTAAAAGTCTAAATTCAAAAGTAATGTTCTAGGCTACATTAAGTACTCCAAGAACTCGATCAATGGGTCTACCAAAGGGACTTTTTTTTATATATAAATTTCATAAAGATAGTATGACCTAGATGGTTTTGCTCAAGGGGTGACCACAAAAGCACAAACCAAATTCCAATTCAATGGACCAAACTCCACAGAAATTAAATACAACGAATTTCTCTCTCTACAATCTTGGGCTCTCTCTCATGTTCTTCATTCTCTTCAGTTTCTAGCCACTTTTTGAATATGTACAAAAAGATATAGATACATGTGCTTTTTTCCTCAAAGTTTTGGCTCTTTTTTTTTTTAAGGGGCTCTTCACTCTTAAATAAGTTACATCTTTGACTTTTTAAGTTCTACTCCCTTTATTTTATCTCTCGAGTTCTTCTGTAAGATCTCTCTCTCTATCTCTCTCTCTCTTTCACCCTCTCTTCCTCAAGCCTTTCTTTGTTACATATACATATCTGCATACATATATACACACACACACACACACACATATATGACCATGAATCTTGTAGTACACCACCCAAATTCACATCAGTTTCTTATGGCACAAAATTACAGGCATTTCCCACTGATCAAAACCCAAACAGACACAACTCATCCACCAGTTTTTCCAACGAATACAGGCTCAGCTTTTCCCATACTAGCAGTTGCTCTACTAAGTATAATGGGCACAGCTTTCTTGTTAGCTAGCTACTACATCTTTGTGGTCAAGTGCTGCTCAAACTGGCATCAACTTAATCTCCTTAGAAGATTTTCCATCTTGAGGTCAAGACAAGATGACAATGATTCCTTCATAGCTCTCTCTCCGGTGACGTGGAATCGGGGGCTTGATGAGTCGGTCATTCGAGAAATCCCGACTTTTCAGTTCAAAGGAGGGGATATGGAGGAGAGAAGTGTGTTTGGATGTGTGGTTTGTTTGAATGAGTTTCAAGTGCAAGACACTCTGAGAGTTCTTCCAAACTGCAACCATGCGTTTCACTTGGACTGCATTGATATATGGCTTCAAAGCAATGGAAATTGTCCACTTTGCAGGACCAGCATTGCAGGCACAATTCGCTGCCCAATTGATCAAATCATAGCGCCAAGCTCTTCACCTCAGGAGCTTCAGCTGTATTCAGAAAGTCTAATGGGAAGTGATGAAGATTTTGTGGTGATTGAATTGGGTGGAGAAGAAAATGGAGAAGTAGTGTTTCCACAAAGGCAGCAAGAGAGAAACAACAACTTCAGAGATGTTTTGGCGTCTAGAACTGATCATTCTCCAAGAAAAATGGAGCACAAGGTGAGAGTGAAAAAGTGTCACCATGTTTCAATCATGGGAGATGAGTGCATCGATGTTCGTAAGGATGATCAGTTCTGTATTCAGCCCATAAGGAGATCTTTCTCGTGGGATTCAGCCACCGATCGCCAGCTCTACTCGACGGTTCGGGAAATCATTCAGAAGAACAGGAGGCCTCTCAATGAGGTTAGTACTAGTGGAGAATGCGATGGAAGAATCCGAAGATCGTTCTTTCCGTTTCGACAAGGCAGAAGTTCCAGGAATGCAGTTGTTCCTTTTGAGATGTAATGTGAAGAACATACATATTTCTTAATTTGTTCCCCTTTTTTTTTTTTTTTACTTCAAATTTTCTGACTTGGGGTTCTTTTAGTTCATAGTTTTGAGGTTGAATGCTGGAATTGTTCTTTAGGCAGTGTGGATATTTGCATAAGATGAACCAAGCGAGTATAGCATTCACTTAGTTTTTTTTTTTTTTTTTTTTTAAATTTTAAACTTAATGAGAAGAGTTGAGAGGCGGAGAGTTTTTGCTTAGGGATAGGATTTGGTTTGGGAATTATGAATTGGACTGCTATGGTTTGATAAAATTGTATCTATTGGTGTTGGCTTCTTTCTCAATGAATGAGCATTATTACTTCCCACTTTACTTTCTGTGTGGAGTTTGAGTGAAAACATGAGGTAGAAAAGCAGCCACAACAGAGAGACCCAATTCCAAACCAAAATGTGAAAACATGAGAGAGAGATTCTTGGGAATGAACTTTTTTTTTCCTTGGGGCAATTATGAGAATTTAGGTGAAACATTGCAAGTATCATTTTTACAAGTCTAATAGTGGCGTATTACTTTCACAGTTTGCAACAAGTTAGCACAACAGAGAATGTTTTTTTTTTTTTTTGGCCAATATTCATTATTAGTTAGGTTTTATGACATTGATATCATTCATGAATGGCAGAATGGGAAAAGCAAAAGCAAAAGAAGAAAGCCAATATTGCTTAATTTGTAAGGAGAAATCATTACAAAGGAAATATAAGCAAAAGGAATGTGCATGAGCAGAGCCAACATCATTATTATAACCTCTTTCAATGTGAACATCATCAAGATATTCGAAGTGGATACGAAGTCTAATTATTACACTCAAACGGGGATTTCCCTACCTGTCAGGCTAATTGAAAACCACCGTCTCGCAAGTAAAAACATAACATGCAGACATACTATTAGTGAGGAAATCCTTGGTACATGACTAATTAGGAAACATAGGAAGATTCCAAAACCAAAACTAAGAACAGCCAATCTAGTATTTTAAACCATAATTATGCTGTCTATTATATATATATATATATATATATATATATATATGAATTGTCTCTGATCAAGCACTTACCTGACCGGAACGACAGTTGTATAATTCTACATAAATCGTGTATATTTACATATAAAGTCGTGTATATTTACATGTAAAGTCGTGTATATTTAACATGAAATACAACAAATCAGTCAATATACATATTTTTATGCTATGCGTTCACTAATTGCTATAAAAAATACATGTTTCGAGGATTAATATACATTGTCGTTTCTTAAAACTTAAACATATACATCTTTACATGTAAATATACACGACTTTATATGTAAATATACAGGACTTTACATGTAAATATACACGATTTATGTAGAATTATACAACTACCGTTCCGGTCAGGCACCTTACCTCTATATATATATATATATATATATAATAAAAAAAAACAGCACTTTCTAGTATGATCCTACCAAAAACCTCTGTATTGGTGTTCATTTAAAGGAAAAAGAAACTGCTACTATAGTAGATCAACTTGTTTCAAAGTCAAAAAAACATTGTTTTTGGTCACTTCTGATAATGGGAACATGAGGTTATGATCTCCTGGCAGATGCACTAGACTGGGGCAAGGGCAAGGCCTTTGTAGGAAGCTCATCAGTTAAATGAGCTCCAAGGGCTTTTTTCTTCAATTGTTCAAGCATTCTTTGGGCTTCTCTCAGTTCATCTCTAGCGCTTGGTCCATGGTTTTCCCAAGCATCAACCACCTGTTGCTGGAATGTGATCGCTAATTCATAGCTGCAAAATCCAAGATACAACTTTCAATTTGCAAAGATTTGCGCCAAGCAGCCAAACCGAAAAAGATAACATAGGACTAAGCTAACAAATTTAACACATCAACTCATCGTGACAAATAGCCACATAAGGATGGCATATGCTTGCACATCCACGTATTTCCATGGAGCATCAGAGTTAAATGAATAAAGTTTTTTCGTTAGTGAGAACTATAGGCGAACGATGATTAACTTTCAAGGTGCTGACCATCCTCCTGGTAAATCAACTATTAACTGACATGGAATCTAAACAACTAAATATAGGTTCTAATTTACATGGCACTTGGACAAATAAACATACGTTCTTTTTTCAACAAAAACATCCCAAGGATGGAAATATTTTGCATTTGAACAAACAACATGTTTATGAATTATGAAGCAGATTCACAATGCTAATGCAACTTAAGTTAGCAATGAACTAGAAAAAGGTGAATTAATAAGAGCAGCATGTATTAGTAATGACGTTGAAAAAAAAAAAGGTACTTATCTCGTACCTTCCCATGCCACCGTACGCTTTTGCGAGGTTGTGACATGCTTCGATTGAATCTGCATGGTGAGGGCCAAGAGAGACATCCATTATGTCCTTAGCAACTGCAAACATCTGTGCGGCCGATTGAGGTCTGTCTAGTTCCAAATATGCCGCCCCCAAGTTGTTGTAGATATACCCAACTCCGAAATGTTTGGAACCAAAGCTCTCTTTTAACCTCTCAGCAGCACCCTCCAAGTAAGGAATAGCCTGTTGGACCTTTCCAGTCAACAGAAGCAGCCACCCTAATCTGGCAGAAACACTTCCCTCCGTGTGCTGCTCCTGTGGAAGCTTCTCGAGTAGAGTCAACGTTCTCTTTAACAGCGAAATAGCAGTTTCAAACTCGTTCATATTCTCATATTGCATTGATATTTCAGCATAGGCATCAGCAACTTCCAACGGGGAACTCCTCTCCTTCTTCTCAAGGATTCCACTGGCAATCTCCAGACATCTTTTTGCATCTGCGAATTTCTCCTGGCTACAAAGCGCTTTTCCCATTGCAATAAACACCAACGCCCTAGTCTGGCTCTCCTTATCTGTCTGATTAACAACGGCCCTCAACGTATTTATAGCCTCATCGTATTTCTTCAACGCAATCTGTATATTCGCAGCATCAATCTCAGCAAAAACCAAATCAGAACTAAGACACCAATTCTTCAAGACTCTGCGCGAATGTCTGTTTTGCTCCAAGGCCTTCTCATGCTCCTCCATGCCAGTATAAATTACCCCAAGAAGCCTCCTATCATGAGCAACTTCCACCGAATTCTGCCCCAACTCTTCCTTATGCAACTCCAACGCCTTCAAACAAAAAGGCAACGCCTCCTTAAAATTCAAGACTGACGCATACCCTTCCGCCACATCCCGATTCGCTTGACCCAGTTCCACATTACCTTCCCCCAAAGTCTTCTCCTTAATTTCCAAACACTTCCTAAGATGTTCAATAGCCTCTTCTCTTCTTCCCATAGCCATCTTAACATTGGCCATAACTAAGAGTACCGCATGAAGAACTGGTCCGACATCCTCGGAACTAAGACCCTCTTCCTCTAACTTACCCAACATCCTATTAGCCCTACTAAGGTATCCCAAACTATCATTATACTTATTTAAGCTCAAATAAACAGAACCCAATAACTGTAAAGCCATGGCAACGGGCAAAGAGGGCTTACCGTCCTTATCCAAAGCTTTGAGGGCTCTGTCAGCAAAAGACAAAATCTTTTCAGGGTTTTCATCTTCTTGGTCAAGTTTGAGGCCAAGTTTCAAGGAAGCCAAGCCAAGCTCTTTTTCCTCGAAAATAGTTTCCATGGCTTTGAAGGCCCTTAGCATTTCGTCGGGGGTTTTGGCGGACTCGAAAGCTTCTTCTAGGTCAGCTTTTTCCTTGGCTTTTCTCTGCCTTGAGGACAAGTTCTGAGGTGATTTCTCGGCTATGGTGTCGATATTCCGAGATGGGTTTGATTGAAATGGTCTGGTTTTGAAGAATAAGCCATGCGTTTTTGTGCAGGGTTTAAGATGGGTCGATGAGAGAAGAGAAGATGGAGATGAAGATGAAGAGCAAGAGGAGGCATCGGGAATGAAGTCTCTGGAGAGAATAGACGTGAAGGATTTGAAGCGGTGACGAGAGAGATGTGAAAGAACGGAGATTGAAGCTTTTCTCATGGCGGATTTGAGAGAATTCTGGAGAATTTTGCGAAAGTTGCTTAAGCTTTCGTCGTGTGTTAAACCCTTCGCAAAACCCTACGACGGGCGGTAAATTTCGGTTAAATAACGCAAAAAAAGGGGAGAAAAGAGTCAACTCCAGTCGCAAGACAAAGTTAAGCATTCAACAAGTTAAATTGTTCCCAAAAAAAAAAAAAACACTCAATTGACAAAAATATTTTGAAATATAATTTTGCCGTTAATGATCATGTGAAATCAAAGTTGGTTATTTTTAGTGCTCTTTCGTTTACTTCCATTAATTTTAAAAATTCATCAGTCGATTTTGTGATTAAGGATAAAAAAAAAATCAACAGCTAATCGGTAAAAAAAAAAAAAAAGTTTGTTTTTCATATCTCTTAATTTTCGTTGTAAATTGAGTGCTAAAAAAATGGATTACAATAACACCACACATATTTATAACAATGTGCTAAACTTAAAAAAAAATAAAAAGGAAGAAAGAGACAAGTCCAAACTAAGCAATATATACAAGAGTCTGACTTGATGAATAACCTGGAATTGGTTTGTACAGTTTTGGAGGATCTTCCCAGCCAGGTTCTGTTTTGGAACCAGGTCCACCCTCAGAAATCAAAGCTGAAAGTCTATTTATAGGCATTGATGAATTTTATATACAGCAAAGAATGCCAAGAGTTTCCTGTTTCCTAAATGAATAGAATATAAACATGAAATCCAGTACTGCAAAAGGAAACCCATGCCATGCACATACCCACCAAAGTACCTAAAGAGCAACAACCTCTTGAAAAAACCGAAGAGGGGAAGCGTATAAATTAAAATTTAAAAGGTCATACAAAGCTTGGGGCTTCCGGATCTACTCTGGGAGTTTCTGGAGGTTTGCTATAAACATCATCGAAATGAAGGTTAAAGTCTCCGGTATCCAAGTTGTCCATATAAATGGAATGGGACAACTTGCCGGAATTTCTCCAGTCCAAGTGTTGCTCTTGTTCCTCCGAGCAGCTTCTATCCGAGAAATTGTCGTGGTAATTGTTGGAAGCCTGGCGGTTGAAATCAGGAGGCTCGAGAAAACTGGCCTGTGGGTGTGCACCTTTTGGACCACTTCTTGCCCACCAGTGACTCCGTGCTGGTGGGTGTGCCAGATTGCCGAATTCCTGATTCTGAAGAACACTCTCCCTGAAGAAAGGGGTTGACGTCGAGGCCCCGAGATTTGATTGTGAGCGATGATCATAATGTTGGTCTCCCCAGTAATCTTTGTATCTTGCATCATTTTGTGTCGAGTTGGATGGAATCATGTAATCTCCAAACTGTTGCTCGGTCGCTTCAGTTGGTTCCTCCGGAATGTCTCTTGGGTACGTAGTCCGACGGTGCTGCCATGAGGTGTAATACCAATCAAGAAGATAGGGGTGATTCTTTTGATCTGCATCAGTTAGCCAGAGAGAACCCAAATGATAGCCGGTTCCAGGGCTATATTGTGGCGGCATTTCTGTGGATAGCATGTTGAGTCTGTCTCCGTGACCTCTCAAACTCGGGCTCCCTCGCCAGATTCTCGGAGGAGAATACACAGGTCGGGAGACCTGCCCCTGCAAATTTTGCTCCCTGAAAGCTCGAAGATTTAGAATGAACTGCTTTCCCTCCACATTTGGTTCCCATGAAGGATAACTACTCTGGAAGCTGCAACGAAAATTATGGTCCATAAGAAATAAGCTTAGGAAATGATACCAGCGTTTAGAAGCAAAGCCTATGGCTTTTATGTACTAAATAGAAACTGTTCTTTGACAAAAGAGCAAAAAATGATACAGAAAAATGGTGGAAACCAGTTCCCTTCTTTGGACGGTTCCAGAATGAAGTAGATCTGGATAACTAAAGGCAAAATATGCGGTAATGAGATATCAAGGAAAAAAGCCAAAGGTTACTTTGCCTTAAAATTAAATGTCAATAATATCTTCCAAGAATAAGCTAATCCCATCATTGCTAAGAAGATTACCTCAAAAATGATTTCTCCATTTTCCCCTGAGAACTCCTCTCGGCGCGACTTGCATTGTAAGGCGATCCATAATTGCTATTGCCATGCTTTTGAAAATCAAAGGCACTAAAGCTGCCACAGAAAAAAGCAAATAACAAATAAATATAACGCGCTGTGTTGTCAAAGTCTGGGAGGGGATGAAAGATCACTACTCACTGATCACCGGTGACAAAATCAATATCCATTAATTATACAGGTGAATAAGATGATACTGACCTGCAAACATGACCAACGCCTTCCACATGCACCGTGAAATCTGTGATAAACTGCAAAATATCATCAACTCGCTGCACAATAAAACATCATATTAGCACATGAGAACTACCATTTCAATGCTCCAAAGTTGAAATAAATAAACTCTTAAATATTGATACCTTCGGGACAACAAATAAAAGCAAGTATGGTGTAAGGAAAATTGAGGCCATCTCCTCAAGTAACATCATTCCAGTATACTGCATTAATTAGATAAGAGAAAAAATTGATCATGAGAAATAAAATGCTAAACACAAACATGAACGCATTTGCGCCACCCAACTAACATTGTGAACACAATTCCTTTTATGCAAACACTAGCAGAAAGAAGTAGCTAGGTAGGACTTTTGAAATGCAGAGATATACAGAGACCAATTATACTATACAAAAACGGAAGCTCCAATTACTTCACTTTAACCATTCATATAAGTCAAGTCCATATTTATTGAAAATTTAAAACAAACCACTAAAAGCCGGACCTGAAACAGTGTTTCAAACTCTATGCGGACCATCTCGGTATTTTCTTTGCCACGCCATGTTTTTGGCATATAATGAGTATGCTGGACCACCATAGACATGGCTCCCTCCGGGTCAAGGACCAGAAGTTCATCTGTGACAGCAGCCCGGCTAATAGCTGTTATAGTTCCAAAAACAGCAGCATACCAGAACAAGTTGCGACCAAATATCTGCAAAATTTCAAATTAAACACGTAATTAAAAGTGGGGTTGTTCAGTCATATAGTAGTTGAAAAGTTATCAAGCAACCACAGGCATATTACATGACCCTCCAGTAGGGATTCCTCAAGAAATGCGATGATGATCAGAATAGCAGCAAAGCCACCAGAAACAAAAGATATGAACTTGGCAATAATAGAAATGATGGGAGAAGGAAATTGCTTCAAGTAATTTGATGCGAGTATAACACTGCTATTGATTCGATGCTTGAAGAAATGGTCCACCTGCAACACGCACATCGATAGCATTTATGAACAAAGACAATAACAATAAAGTAATAAATAAAGATCAACTAAGAAACAAACAAACCATAAAGCAAAACCAGAAAACTTGATTATCACCGTAAAGATCCCAAATATACAATGAATCTCAGCAACAACCCTCCGAAGGCACTTTAGGCCAGGGAAAGTGCTTAACTTGAACAAAAAAAAAAAAAACAAAAGGAAAAACTATTATTACCTCATTGAATTCCCTTAAAATCCACTTTGACAAATTTGACCATCTCCGAGATGATGCTGTGCTTGGATGGTTATAGAACTGCTCAGCATGCCTCAAGAAGAGATACACCAGCATGAAAATGACAATAAATGGTGAAAGAACTAGCATAGTGAGACCTACTACCATCAACCTTTTCCTTAAGGTTCTTGGATTAGATATGAAATCCCTTCTAACACAGAAGTTTCTGTGCAAAAGAAAAAAAAAAGAACCAATAAAAACAAAGTCTACAGATATATAAACATATAAGTTTTTCAGCAGAGCAATGTTCTCAATTCTCCAATGTTTGTGAATATGTGAACAGGCACTGGGATCAACAAAATTCTGCACAAAAGTCATGGGATTCAAAACTCAGATCCCTGTTTACTATTCCAAATCGGATTATAATACAATGTAGAGAGCTCTCATAAGAAATCACTGCCAATGTCAAGTTCAAACAATGGTTAACACTTAACAGGGTTTGACAAAAATATGTCTTTGTTAATTACCCAATTTTCCGCGTTATTCTACAGCTTTTTACAGTGTTAGAAGTTTGACAACTTTGTACGCTTTCTTCAAAATCTTCTATAAGATAAATGAGGTATGCAAGCTATAAATATGGCATCTATGTCCTGTGAACATACGGAGAAAACTATAAGCATTAATTAGAACTCACAATATATGACTGTAGATACCCATAAATTCATGTATATTCATGTCTCAACATACCGATCAAACATGCTCTGCAAGATGCACCAATTCAAGGTCCACTCGAGGGTCTTGGTCAGTATGAGACGATGCCTCTTTCCATTTGAGCGAAATTTGACAGTTGGACCCGCCCCCGGCACCCACTGCGAGATAGGAAATGCAAGCAGTCCCTTGTTGAGCATACCAATCAAGTAGTTTTCCTTTCGCATAAGCCGCATCACCACATCATGAGCAGAGAGATTCTTAACCACACAAAGCCGTTCTGAATTCTGTAACTGCACAACTTTTTCAAGAATGGTTGCCCACGGCATGGTTTGAATTTCATTGTCTGTAACATGAAGACTGCAGGAATACAACCTTGGTCATGCCATTTTCTTAAAGAGAAAATCTTACTACACTAAAATGTAAAAAATAGCGCTTCTAATTCGTAAAAGGGCTGTATATCATGATCGCACACACACCTGTTGTAATAGAAGTGACGGATTCCGAGGGTTTCATTTAACTGAGCAAAAAATCTCAAAAAGCAAAAGACCCAATAAATGGAAAATATACCCAAATAAACCACAATGATGGCTTTTGAAAGTGTTAAAGGGGTTAGTGGGTGCGAATGAAGTGCTTCCTTGGCAAGATCACAGGGCTTAATTCCAGACTCAACCGCATTTATCCCGCATTTGGCATTACGAAGACCGTTCCAATCGACATACAACAAGAAAAACCCTGAGAAACAAATGGTGAAACCCAAGCTGAGAAGCTCAACTATCCATTTTATGATAATACACCAAAGCCCTTTCTCGCAGTAGTAGCTGTAGAGCCTTTCAAAGAACAGATCCAGATCAGCAATCGGTTCCACATTCAAACTCTCGCCATTGAGAAGCCCCGAAGGGCTCTCACTACCGGGACTCGATAGTATCCTTCCGTAGTCAGAAAGTTCAATTTCAGGAGGCACATCCTTAAGTAATCCTTCTGACAATGATGATTGTCCATGCCACTTCCACTTAAATATGCCGCGAGAATTGGCACCCTTTGACCCGTTGAACATCATTTACAAAGACTGACTGTGGTCAAATACAGCCAGTCCATTCCCCAAACCAAACCATAAAAATTCGAAGCGAATCTCTGAAGGATGAACAACATCAAATAAGTCCCCAAAAAAACAAACTAACTATACATAACTAATCAATTGAACCAAACTGGAAATAGGACAATAAGAGAATTTTTGTTTCGTTATCTAGATGCATCAAAAAACACAATGCAACTATATAAGACCTCTCGTACAATTCACAAGAAATAAAATGTATTAATAATCTATGTCATACTTTGAGGAAGTGTTAACAACTATTCCATAACATATGATTACAAATACTTAAGCGCAGCCATTTGATTAAGGAACTAGTTTGTTTCTTTCAAGTCCAAAAAATAAATAAATTATGAAAGTAGAAACCCCAAGGAACTCTTTAAATAAGAAGAATAGAGATAAGAGAACGATTATTCAAAGAAATGGACGGTTGAAGAAAATCCATATCAAATTTTTTTAAATCAATCGTGTATTTCTCAAAGAAGAGATTTTAACACGAAAAATAGAGAGAAAAAGGACAAACTTTACCTCCAACGAAGCAAAAAAACAAGAGGCGTGAATCAATCACTTCGCCGACAAGAAAGAAAGTAAGCCGAAAATCTGCGAGTTTTGGAGATACCCACTAACGATTTCAGCTCCGAAACCGAAGATCTTAGACGATGAGAGACTGAGTGATAAAGGGTTTGAATCCAAATTGGAGATAAAAATTTCGATCAAAACCAGAGAAAGACCCAAGAAAGGAGGTTGGGTTGCGTGGAAGAAGAGGAATATTCTCAACTTACTCTTTTTTTTTTTTTTTTTTAAAAAGAAGAAAAAATTATATATTTCCGACTGGGAGAGGAAAAGAGAAAGAGGAAAATATGTTTTGTTTCAGTGCTTTTTATCGCTTTTCTTGTGTTTCTCTGTTTTTTTTTTTTTTTTAAAATTTGGAGGAAGACGTGAAGTTGGGTGAATTCTCTTCTTAATGCGTTTGAAAGTTGGAAGAAACCTGTGTTTAAAGCCCCAAGAGAAAAATGTTATTAACTAACACGCAAGACGGCGTTTAGTTGTAATCGTTTTTAATTAATTTTTTTTTAATTTCTTCTTTTTTCTTTTTTCTTTTTTTTTGTCCGCTGAAGTGTATAGTGTTAATGGGTTTTATATAGGGTAGCGATTCGTGTCACGTATTGTGTTCGTGTCGTATTTTGATCGTTTCTTTTTAAATTTACAATCAATCTGAACACGACCCGTGATACAAAATTTTTTAAAAATCGCAACACGAACACGACATGACCACTTTACGAGTTGACACGACACGACTCGAAAATGACCCGTGACACGAAATTAACCCGTGAATCTGAAATTGACACAAAAATTGTATACTTTTATTTAGTTTTTTACATATTAGAAATAACTTAAAATTCATAACACACTAAATTACAATAACATACATTGAAATTAAGCAAATAATAATATAAGATTTTAAGTATAACTATCATGATATCACAAGTTCATAATAAAATTTAAAATATAAAATGAAAAATATATGTATTTTTTAGTTTTTTACGAGTTTCGTGTCGTGTTCGGATTAAGCGGGTCCAACCCGAAATTGACCTGTGTTTTTCTTGTCAATTTCAAGTCGATCCAATTCTGACTCAAACTTCTTTTTTCTCAACCTTAACCCATAAAATTTATATCGTTTTTGAGTCATGTCGTGACCCATATTGCCGCCCTAGTTTTATACTCTTCTAAATCGAATGGGTTTCATTCACCACGCGACGCGACCAAACTAAGGATAATCAGATGAAGATGGGCCTTACCTGAGTCTTGCGAGCCCATTTTCCTAAGGGCTTGACCCAATTCGTTCTTTCCCATATTTGGGCTCTGGATTGAGTCGTAAGTTGGTCAACCGCAGTTTGAGTGTAAAATTAGGTTGGAAAAAATGGAAAATTTAGCGTGTGGTCTCGACTTTTATTTCTTATTTTTAATAATATTTTTTTATTAATATAATTATTTGATTAAAAAGTTATGAAGTAAGAATAAATGGTAAAAATTATCATTCATGCACTTTTAAAGAGTATTTATCAAGATTACCTAATAGAAAAAATTGGTGAAGTCACCCTTTAAATGCATTATTTTTAAATAAAATTACATAATTTACGTTTAAGAGTACATGGATTTAGATTTTTACCATTATTCTTGATTAATACCCTTTTAATAGTATAGTTATTTGACTAAAAAGATTATTAATCAATAATTAAAAATCCTGAACCATACACTTTTAATGGGTATTTGTCTTCAATCCTCATTATTTTAAGATTATTACCCTTTACTCTTGATTAATATGATTTTTTGACTAAAGGGTATTAATTAAGGGCGCGTTTACTAAACCGTAAAAAAATATAATGAGATTGGAAAAGAAAGTAAACTTATGCCTCATTCATTTTACCGATTCGAGTTTTCAGTTTTAAATTTCTACAGTAAAAAGTTCTCAGCAAATGTCACATCTAACTTTTTATGCTACAGTAAAAAGTTCTCATAAAATGTCACATCTCAGTTCGAATTAAAAACTCGAATTCCCGAAGTGAACGAGGCCAGAGGATTAAATTATTCCTTTTAATGTGTTTACTTGACCATTAAATTGTGTAATGAGAAACAATCCATTCCCTTTCTTATATTTACTAAAATTAGGAATAGTAATGTTAATGTAATCACTAAAATTAAATAATTATTGATTGTATAGTAATTTATTAATAGTAGATAAGTAAATTTAACATTCATTCCATTTGACAATGAGTCAATATTAAAAGGCGTGCAAGGATTGGTATTCCTTTATTTCATTCATTCTCCATATTGTGTGGGCTCACTAAATTTATATTACTAATTTTGTAAGTAAATACATTATTATTAAATGGGAATGGAATCACTACTTACTTCCCCTTTCCATTTAATGCAAAGAAAACATGCCCTAAATGTAAAGAGTAAAAGTCAAAGACTCGTGCATTTTGAGAAATATTTGTCATTTTCTTTTGAAAATAGCATTAACAATTTTTAGACTAACAATTAAAGAATTTCTAATATGGGAATATTGTCAATTTGTTCATTTTTATAACTATTAAGATAATAATTACGGATGTATCATTTTTTTTTTGTTCCTTATATAGACTTATGTACACATATCATAATTTGTGGACATTCATTTTATTTTTCATCCCAAGCATAATAGGCATATATGCAGTTCTTTAAACTGAAACGTAATTAGGTTTGGTATCACTTCCTTGCTCATTCAAGCGTATCACTGTTTTGTAGTTTTCTTTGAAACACATCACTCTTGGATAACAAAAAGACGATTTATCATGGCTGTTTTAGCATTCCAAATAACACAGTTACATAGATCGAGTATATTCACAATGACACTAGGAGGTTTAATTAGGAGGTTTAATTAGGAGTGTTTACAGAATCCGTCAATCTAATTGATCCGTCAAATTCAATCTAATCCAATTTGAAGTTTTCGATTGGATTATAAAAGATTTGTGTAATAATTGAGAAAATCCTAATGTTAAATCATAGATTTCATGGATGATAATATGTTTTGTAATTAAAATTCTACATAAAATTTTGTGTCAAACATTTTTATGTTATGACTTGGTTGATAATCCTCACTGCAATTTAAGACGGGATAAATTTTTGATTTGACTATGACTCGTAATTCTGTTCATGATTATTATACAGTGTTAGCAGTACTATGAGAAGCACTATAACATTTAAAGAAATCCTTAATTGCCAATTAGTAATATTGGTGTTACGCGAGTCGCGTTTTTAGTAAAACTGTAAAGCCGAGCTCAGAAATTGACACCGTCGGTTATTATGTTTTATTGAGAGTTTAAGACACGTATGTTAAACTCCGATTTTAAGTTATTTTAAGACAAATTTTAAAGTCTGGAAACAGTTTGAATAATCTACGCAATTTTAAATCTAAACCGGTATTAATTTCTTCCGAATATAGTGTTGAACTGTGATTTAAACAGTTGACTGAAAACCGTTGGAAATTATTTATCCTGTTAATTGATATAAAAATTACTGTCAGTATAAGTTTAATCAGTTTAATAATGAATTTTTGGGAGACAAAGGTTTAACCTTGATATGACAAGGGCATCATTAAGTGTAAATTTTATCTCTCTTCTCACTAGGTATGACCAGCCATACTAAGCATTTTTTAATCAAATTCTAGTCCATAGAGCTTGATTAAGAGGGCCTTAATTAGTGATGAGTTAGCTTAGCTATTTGTCTATATATACCACCATTTAGAATTAAGCTTACTTTTACTATTTTCTTATTATTCTTTTTTTCGTTTTCTCTCTCTTTCCCCTTGTTTGGCCGAACCCCTCAAGTTCTCTCTCTCAAAATTTTTCCATTTCTCTCACACAAGAAAGACTTCAAACCATAATCTAGAAGAATGAGAAAGAATTTGTGTAGGAATTCCTGACACTTTCAAAGGTAAGGATCAAAACTTTTCTCCTTTGATTTTATTTGTTCAAAGTTCTAACTTTTCCTTCAAGTTTAAATATTTGTAGGAATTTCTCACATTGGTGGTCAAAACCATTCATCTCCTAAGGTTTGTGGTATGATTCTTTAAAACTTATCTTGATCATTTCAACTTTAAGAACAAAGTTTGGTTTGGTTACAAAGTTTGTGTTTCTACTGTTTACATGTGTGTTAAAAGATTAGATCTTCACATGCAATGAGTTTTAATGTTAAATCTATGTTTTTGAATTTATATTTTATGGTATAAGGTTGCTATTTTGTGTGTTTAGAACAAGATCTAAGCTTCACATGTTAATTTTAAGAGGTTAAAGATGCAACAAAAAAAAAAATTAAGTTGACAAGTTTTGTAACACCCTGAAGAATTAATTGAGATTAATTAAGATAATTGAGATTATTAGTGTGCCTAATCTGGATTATTAATTGAGTATTAATTAATAAATGTTTCTGACACATGTGAATTTAAATAGTTCCAATGTATTTAAATTATTCTCAGTAATTTATTTTAACCCAGAAATGTGTATGGGCGCATTTCTGGACCGCTCTTTTAAAATATTGTACACATGTCATTTTCTTTTCTTTTTCCTTTTCTTTTCTTTTTCTTTTCTTTTCTTTTCCTTTTCTTTCCTTTTCCTTTCCCGTGCGTCTCTCTCCCTCACTCTCTCTCTCTTTCTCTTGTGCATCTCTCTCACTCTCTCTCTCTTATTTTCGTCCCAAATCAAACGGATCTTGAACTAAGGAAAGATTTAAAGAAGTTTTCAACGTCAAGAGAAGGATTCGAGGTAAGATTACTGAAAGAACCTCTCTTGAATCTTAAGTTTTTGAATTTCAAAACTCATTTTTTGTTCAAACCGGATTTTGATGGGTTTTTAGTAAAACTAGAGTAGAAATTGGAGATCTTGGGTTCTTTAGACTTGTTTTAGGACCTATAACCCAGATCTAGTGGTTTCCCTTTGAAATATCTCGATTTGGGACTAGATTTGCAGGTTTTGGACTGATTTCCGTGAGCTTCTCTCGTGCAGCTGGTTCCATCGGTCAACTTGTGCGGTCGACCGGATCACACGGAAACCGGTTGACCTATGCAGTCGACCGGATTGCAGGCTGACCGGTCGACCGGTCCGGTCGATTGGTGTGCACACTACCGGTCGATCGGTAGTGTTGCACTGCTCTGTCACCGGTTGACACGGGGTTTGACCCTGATTGGCTTGAAATTACTGTTTTGACCCCTGTTTTTGGGGAGAACCCAAATTAGCTTCATTTGGGGACTTGAGATAAATGGATTAGCATTGTTAATCCTTGATTTGAGATTGAAAACCCTTGAAATGATATTTTGAAACATGAAAATGGATTAGGGCACACTAATTGAAAATCTTGGAACATAAATGAGATTTGGATTGCTTTAGGAATGAGAATTGATCCTAAAGTGTTGTCTTGCATTAGTGATCGCTGAGGATTCAGACTAAAGGGGCTTGAGGAAGAGGAAGCCAGAAAAGGCAACGCTAGTCCTAGGTTTGATAGTGCGAGGTAGGATTTCTATCCCTTTTCCTTGTGAGCCTGTTTTCGAAAATGATTTTGGCCTTGAAAATGCTTTAAAGAAAGGGATTGGTTTGTGAAAAAAAACGTTTTGAAAACCATGGCTTGTTTAGTCATGGAACCTCATGGCTTGTCCAGTCATGGGGTCCTGCGGCTCGAGTAGTTCATGGGGTCGTATGAACGATTTCAAAATGTTAATGAATGATTTCTTAATAAAGAGATCTTGTGAACTGGTAATAAAGACTATTGCTGTAAGCCTAGATAGGATGCGGATAGTGCATCCTCGGGGGCAGAACCTGAAACTCAGTCCGGGTAGGCGAGGCACCTGGTTAGGTAAGTAATTTGTACTAATTACTTGTTGAAGCCTGTAATATGGAGATTTTACATTTATTTCCTTTGAGAAAAAGGATGTGAGGTTTCGGCTGTCTGTTAGAACTGAATGTCTATTTATTTACGTACCTATTTATTTATTTACTTACACTTTATCTATTTATTTACTTTACGTATTTGTAAATAACATCCTACTGGGCATTTCGCTCACGTTTTATGTTTCAAATGTATTAAATCCCTCCCAGGAGACTCTAGGAGCGGGGCACTGTAGCTGGATAACTGCCACGGAGCAGCTGAGTTATGCTGCTGTTGGAATCAAGTGAGGATCGTGGACATCCTCTTGGACAAATGTAAGGAATTTGAGAAATTCTGTAAACTTATGTAATATTTGGATTTACTAGACTGTGGTTGATGTCTGTTGTAATGATTATTTACATGAGCATGTATGTACGATATTGTATGTCATGTGGGGTGGAGCCCTGTGTGTCAGAGGCTCCGGGATTTTGTAGTAATATAATTATATTTTAATACAGTTGAGTAGGGCTCGTCTGGGAATCTGCTTTATTAATCCCTAATCGAGCTCCACGTCACCCACCCCGTTTGGGGGGGCGTGACAAGTTTTTGTTTTGGTTTAAAAATTTTAGTCTACTTTGATTTAAAATTTAGAGTTGTTAGAGACCAAGTTGAGAAAAAAGCTAACTTTTTAGACGACGTTTGTTTCCAGTATTCGTCATTGATTCTGAATCATGATTCATGGTTCTCTACAGTGTTTTCTCTCACAAAAAATACACGTAAAACGAGAATGATTCTGAATACATAAACCAAACGTCTCCTTCTGCACTAATTTTTGAAAATCATCATTAGCAAACACAAACCAAACGTCTCCTTCTGCACTAATTTTTGAAAATCATCATTAGCAAACACAAACCAAACGTCTCCTTCTGCACTAATTTTTGAAAATCATCATTAGCAAACACAAACGAAACGTCTCCTTCTGCACTAATTTTTGAAAATCATCATTAGCAAACACAAACGAAACATGCCCTTAAGAAACCTTATTTTTGCCCTTAAGAAACCTTATTTTCTTAAGAAAAATAAATAATAATATCTCAAGACACCAAAAGATAGGGAAAAAAAACCAGTATATGTGTGCGTTTATTTATTTATTTGTTTTTCAACTGTTTTTCCCTTTTTAGGAACAAGAGCCGTGTACTGGTCATACTAAACCGAAGCGCGGAAATCTTTATTCTTCGACTAGGACTCCACTAGTTCACTCCCCAAACAGGCACCAAAGAAAATGAGGGAAGCAACGGATCTTTTTGGCGGGAAACACGTGGCAGCCAAGAACACGATACCAGCTCAATTTTCCCGCCAAGAAAACCCTAAATATATGCCCCAAACCCTTTGTACCTACTCTCAATCTCTTCGAAACCTGCAATTCCCTCTATCTCTCTCTCTCCAAAATGAGCTCCTCGGAAGCTTCTTCTTCAATACCTTTCAAGTCGAAGAAGTCCCTGTGCTCAACCCCAAAGGCCAAAACCCTAGATCCCAATCTGCTGAGCTCCAAGCCTCCAGAGAAGCCTCTTCAGCTCCCTCGTCGGACTCGGAACCAGAACGTCGCGCTCTCGTTGAAGGAAGTGAGAAAGGCAGCCGAAAGCCGCCGCCAATCGGCTCGGAAGCAGTTCTTTGATCGGACGGACCAGATCGCTTCCGCTAGGCGCCATATCGTCGATAGCCCCTATGAAACCGCCGCCGGTGATAATGTCGCCGTTAAATCAAAAAGCGACGCCGGTGCGGAACCCAAGCTGCCGGAGAAGTAAGATTTCGTTGAAGTTTTGGCTGTATGAGTAGGAAATTTTTTTCGAAAGGAAATGAGTAGGAAATTTTTGCTGTTAGTTTATGCCTAATTAATCACAATTTTTGGAATTAATTGGGGGATTTTGGCAGGTACGAGATTCTGAGCGATTTTTTCAATAGCTTGGACAATTCGATTCGATTGCTGCGATTGAAGGGTTCCACGCCGACTTTTACCAATATATGCCCAAAAGTCGAATATTTTACTGATAGGTATCCTATTTCTCTTGATTGGTGCTAATTTTCTAGCAGTATCTTTTTGTTTGCTTTTAAGGGTAGCGGAGAAAAAAATGGGTATTGAAAATTCTTGATTTACCACAAAACATCCAACTTCAAATGTCCCCCGTTTGGCTGCTGGGAATCTGATAAAGAAAATGACCACAGGGCTTGTGATTTTTATTGTGATTTGAGTTTTTTTCTGGAAGAAAATCTAGGTTTTATTTATTCTTTATTATTTTTCTAATTGTACTTCCCGTGAATGAGAAACGTAGAATTGGGTTTGATTCAGTGGCGTATGTTTCTCAGAAATCAGTAGCCATACTTGTACCTTTCCAAAAACGAAGGAAAAAAAAACCGTCCAAATCAGGTTGCTTTTACTTGTGGATCATGATTTGTTAACTTTATCCACAATGTTTCCAGGAGATTTACATACCGCCACTTGGCTCAGTTGAAGTTTATTTTACCTGAGGTGATTGAGATAAAGAGAACACTAGTGTTCAATGAGCGAACAAGTTGTATGAAGCCAGATCTTCATATTACTATGAATCTTGAAGCAATAGAGAATGACGGGAAGTCAAAATCTGAAGGAGGGAATTTGTACCTGAGGAGGGTCTTCCAGTCACGGCTTGCAGAATTTTCAAGATCTCATCCCGAGGTATACGAATTTACTGTCAATGTGTGTCATGTTGGTTTATCCACTTGGTAAAATACCTGATTTGGGGAATCACAATGCATTCTTTAGTGTCCAACACTTAAGTAAGGCTTAAAAAGCTATACATTTCCATCAAACACGAACTTTTAAATCACATTTAGCTGCATTCAAGGTACTACTTGCTGATCATCTAGTTTGGCTGAATAATTTCGTACCCTGGCAATATTCAGATCTGGAAGAATTTAGTTCAATTCATTTTTCTTAAACTAAACAAATTTCATTGATTTAACGTTTCAAAAGAATTTAAGGAGTTTTAGTTTGCTGGAATTGTGCTTGTTGGTGGATGTAACTGCTCTAAGAGGATATAAAGTACCTATTACCTGGAAAATTTGGTAAACCCCACAGCTTTTTCTGAAACATTCTCGCAGTGAGAATGCTCAGTCCTAATAGTGTCTACCTCCTAACAGCAAAGATAGTTTTAAATTTTTACAATAAATTTTTTTTTTGATATTCGAATTAGCATTTTTTCTACTGCATAGTGTTTTCTCATATCACGTGCTCAGAAGGTTGTTTGATCTTGTTTCAGGGTTGTGAAGTTCCAGAAGAAATGTTGCCAGAACCGTTCAATGTTAAGCAAGGCCTACTTTCAAATTTGACCAGAATTCCCTCATCATCTTCTCCTTTTGAGGCAGCATCTGATTCACATTCAGCTGATCCAGCGTGTGATGGGATCCCCAAGGAAATGCATCCAGTTTCAGCAAGCAAAAAGACATTATCTGAGGCACCTAAAAATCAACAACCGGTGGTGGCATCTCATCTGTCTCCCTCTTTCCGGAGGCGCTTTTCTCAAAAGCCTAGAAGCAATGAAGTAGAGATCACTTCCCAAAAATCATCCGAGCCCCCCTTCAAACCTCCAGCTGATCCAGCTGCACTCTCGAGTCTCAACACGGTTTCCTCAGTAGAGGAAACTACTGAGGAAACCAGTTCTAATCAGGTCTTTGGCCCAGCGAATGTAACTCCAAGCAAAAAGCTATCTGTTCTCAAGACAGAAGAAGGTTCTCCGAGAAAAAGTGATAGTCTCCAGTCGACTCCTGCAAAACTAGCTTCTACTCCACTAAGACTCATGACTGCCACCCCTACGCTGCATCCACCAAAGAGAAGTTATAAGAGCCCAGAGGATAATTCTACCAGCTCACCAAACAAGTTGGTTAGACGTCCACCCCGCACTAGATCATTGAAATTCGACAGTCCTGTGAAGAACAAGGCTAGGGATGAAGACTTTGATGTTAATGGCGTGTCAGTCGATAATGACATTCTTGATATTCTTCCTGAGAATCTTTGGCAATCGGTATGTGCTATTAATTCTACCTAGAGTACAATATCTCTTAAGATTCTAGTTATCTTTCAAGGTGCCCACAAGCGAATAAATTCTGAATTGCCCCTTTTTGTTTCAAATGATAAGTAAGTAAAAAGGGGAGAGGATTTTAATGTGTATTTCTGTTTCCAGATCAGAGATAAAGAAAGAAAAGCAGCAGAGGAGCGGGATCCAGCCATCTCACAAGCAAAGAGGCGGAAACAGATGATTGCCTGCCTGCCTAAGCTCTTCAATATGATCCATTTCTTATTTCAGTCAATAAATCGTTCTGTTATCACAAAAGAAGAGCTTATGCACAAGATCATCTCAAGCCACATGGATGTCGTTGACAGAAGTAAGCCATGATACAAGCTCTTTTGGTTTTCCGTTATGTCGAAGCATTTCTGAGCTAAATTCTATTGCCATTTTTGTTCAGGAGAAGTTGAGGAGCAGCTTAGCTTGTTGCTAGAACTGGTTCCGGACTGGATTTCAGAGAAGTTGGCATCTGGTGGGGATTTGCTTTTCCGGTGAGCCTCTCTATGCTTGACGAGTTCTTTTACGAATACTAAGAATAACAGCGTACTTGAATTAAAAACTTAGAATTGCATAAAGAATTTTATTATCTTTCTAGTTAAATAGAAACTTCAGTGAATTATCTGTTCTCATATTGTCTTTCACCATGCAGCATCAATAAAATGTCAAGCCCCGAATCAGTACGCGCACGGCTTGAAGGAGCAAATTGAGCCCGAGCAGCTAGATCTCATCACATTTACTGGAAGGAAGTGAGACTTGTTGGGTGAACAATAGTGTATGGTTTCCCCTTTTGAAGAAGCAAAATGAGCCCGTGCAGCTAGATCTAGTCACAATTACTGTAAAGAAGTGAGACATGCAGATTAAATTGTGTATGGTTTCCCCTTTTAGGTGGGGAATTGTGTAAATTTTTTTGCTAATTGATTATCTATGTGAAGTTCATCCAGGAGGCTGGATCCTTGATCATCTTGACTAACTCAAAAAGAAAAAAAAAAAAAATTGTCCACGCAAAATTGGCATTGGCCGTTCAATTGGTTTCTAGTTATTGGTTTGAAACGACATCTGAAATTCCTCTTCTAGATATCTCAAAAAGTTGCCTATTTGGGCACACACCAGTCGACAAGAGTTTCTACATATGCCCATACTGCTAAATCATTGAAGTCAATTTAACTTCGTGTTTAAGCTCCCTCTCTTTAGAATCTAAACAAAATCTTGAACTAATCGTCCTCTTTTTGTCTCCACGAGTTAAAGGAGGCATTTTGAATTATTATATAGCAAAATTCATAACTAGGCGATGTATTCAAGGCTGTCGTGCCAAGACAACAACGATTCTCAGATTCTTATCTGTGCTGTTGGAGAAGAATCCAATGGTGCTTTGTGATTTCCTCCACAAATATGTGCTGGAGAAGAAAAACACCAGCATATACCACAAGGAGCAAAAGGAGATCACAAGGGTGGGAAACGAAATGAGGCGTAAGGAGCTGGTGGAATTTAGAACGCCACAACACCCGTCCTTGGGGACGAACCACTGGGGTGGTGCTTCTCCATTGCTGGCAAGAAACATTCCCAAGGAATCACTCGATCAGAGATATCTGAGGCTCAACTCAATTCGCACACGCGATGAGATCTTTCCGGTTTTGGAGGATCACTTCAACTGGGTGCTTGACTCTCATGCTGCCGAAAAGAAAGAAGACGCCGCAAAGACGCCCAGGCGTATCACCATCAGAGGACTTTTACCAAAGTTTACGTTACAAAAGGAGAAGAATGCCCGGTTGGGCTCGAAGAAAAGGAGTTGGTTCCCTAGACTTGATCCTCATAACAGGTGGCCTCAAGGATGGTGTTAACTGTTAAAACAGAGAGTTTCATTCATGTCAAGCATTTGAAGAAAGAATCAACACTAGTCCAGTTGACTGGAGAGGATATATGATAAGCGGCTAAGTGGGCTCATCCACTTGATGCAAAAATGGATCTTGAATCATTCACAATCAATACAAACTAAACAATAGACACAGGAGAGGTTCATGAAGTGTTGGAAGTTCCCTTTTCATTTTTTTTTTTTTTGTCAATACTAGACTTGGATCAAGATTGTGTGCAGAAAGTTTTTATTGGTTATTTGTGAAATTCACTTACTTTTTGCTGGAAAGTTAATGTAATTATCTATTACTTTGTATGTAACACCTTATGTGGAGAAAAAAGCTGGCAAAGGGAGTTGCCGACTATCAGCTTCTAACTTCTATTTTCACAGAAGATCAGAGTAGAAAATTGTCCTTTGGAAAAGCAGAGGTATAAAACTGTCAGCTGTGTTTTTAACTTCTTTCAATAAGAGATAATACGTTTAATACTTTAGGCCAAAAATCCAAGTCTATAAGAGCAATTACAATAGGGTTTTCTTTCCTTCACTCTTCACTATTACTTTTTCATCGAGAAAAAAGAATCAAGATGTATTCATTATTTATTTAAATAATTTTGTCATAGTCATTACCCTATCGGCACAATACAGTTTTGAATGTCAAATTACATCAAACTCATAATAAATTTTTTAAAAAATATATATATAATTCAATAGAGTTTAATGAAGATATTACATATACAAATTATGATCTACTGATAAAATATATATACAAATTAGAAAAAGCGAGTTTTGTTCTTATTTATAGAGACGATAGCGTCAATGGGATAAATAAAATCCATGCTAAATTTAGATGCATCGGCCTACGCTGGCTATTTGATTTGGAATTTGTCTTTAACTCTAAATTTTGTTTTATTTGAGATATAATAGACTAACTTAAATCTTTTCATCGTTAATCTATTACACAGAATCAAAGGAGATTACGACTCGTGAGGATAGGATGCAGCTGCCAACAAGTCTTAGAGCATGTTTGGTTTCGCTTAAAAAAACTGTTTTTGACTTATTTAGTTTAAAAACCGTTTTTGAACTTATTTGGATGGACAATCTTAAAATATTTTTAGTTTTTTAAGCATTATTATAACAAATTATCTCTTTAGTGCTTGTGAAAAGCTTATTTATTTATATTTTTTAATTTTTTATTTGTGAACAACAAACTAAATATCCTATTCGGATCATTTTATTATATTACTTTTTATATAAATCTATTCAAAAACTTTTCTTAGATATAACATTTTTCGACACTATCTAAATACTAATTAAAAAGTCCTAATTTATACTTATTTTTTTTTACTCTTAAAAGCACAAATACAAACTGTTCTAAACGGCCCTTAGTACCTTCCAGTTGATTTTTCGATTAACTTTATTGTTTTCCAGAAAGAAATAAATAAATTATATGTCGTTTCTGCCGACCACAAACGATATGTCGTCTTATCAAAACAAAACGATGTGACGTTTATTCTTTCTTGGCCCTTCAAAAAGCGACATGTCGTTCCATGTAAATAAAACTTGATCTGTCCTTGTGAGTTCTACGCGTCCACGGGAACGTCAAACGGCACACACTCATACGTCACGCTCCTGACAGTTGGTCGCAAAAATCATGTCGTTTTTAGCCGTATTATCTTTGTGCTTCTTTTTTTTCTCATAAAAAGAACATTCTCACCGTTGCCGGGGATCGAACCCGGGATCTCGTCCTTGTGAGTTCTACGCGTCCACGGGAGCGTCAAACGGCACACACTCATACTTCACGCTCTTGACAGTTGATCGTAAAAATCATGTCGTTTGTGCTTCTTTTTTTTCTCATAAAAAGAACATTCTCGCCGTTGCCGGGGATCGAACCCGGGTCACCCGCGTGACAGGCGGGAATACTCACCACTATACTACAACGACCCGATGATGCTTTAATGTATTATTGTTTATACTTGTTCTATGTACACTGTCGTTTATATTTCTCAAAGCAAATCTACATCTACATATACATACAACCTATACCGTCTCGGTCTTTACAAGGCGTACACGGCTCGTTTTGTTTAAACAATACATTTAACATTAATTTGACCATCTTTGTTAGCGCTAGGCTCCACATAAGTACAAATAAAATAAATAAAATGTTGTCTAAAAACGATTACAACAATTCCAGCGGTTTTAATTAACCACTTGCAAGGATTCTAACCTCACGGATACAACCTATATTTTCTAATTTAATTTTTAGGAAGTTGACTTCTATGTTATCAATGAACCAGATTAGCACATGGTATATGTTTTTCCCTTTGATATTATATTACAAGTGTTTGGATTAAAACCAGTGACCTTAAAATTTTGTTTCTAAGCAAAGTCTTTGCACAAGAGAAAATGGAGAAACTCATGTCAATAAGGAGAGACTTGGAATCCGTACCAGATTCCTACATATTGCCACCAGATAGTAGACCCGGGGAGACCGAAGTTCCTCTATGTAAGACCATTCCTGTGATTGATTGTAAAGGAGAATTTGGACGCGACCCCACGAAACTGATTCAGCAAATCATAGAAGCTAGTACAGAATTTGGACTTTTTCAGGTTTGAGATTCTGACCTTATTTATTTATTTGTTTTTTTTATTAATTTTTAATTTTTCCTCCGTAGTCCTTGATTGATTATAAACTTAAATCTGATAAACTACGTATTGAAAGTAGTTGATTAATCATGGGGTTGAAGAGAAGCTATTGCAAGATGCATTAAAAGTGGCAAAGGAGTTTTTTGGGCTGCCTGATGAGGACAAAGCAATTCTCTTCTCAGATGACCCCAAGAAAAGTTGTAGGCTATACACAAGCATTGACTATATGAAAGAGGAGGTACATTACTGGAGGGATAGTTTGAGACACCCTTGTCATCCTCTAGAGGAACACAGGCAATTTTGGCCTGAAAAGCCCGCACAATATCGGTATCCGATTTCTGATTTTTTTTTTGTTTTGTTTTTTGTTTTCTATCAATATCATGATTGTTTGCACTACTTTTCAAATAATATTAAAACGTGATATCCTTCATTTCTTTTAGAGATGTGATGGGAAGTTACTCAGCTGAGGTGAGGAAGCTGAGTTTGTATCTTTTGGATATGATTTGTGATGGATTAGGACTTGAACCAGGATACTTTAGAAACTCAACTCAACTCACTGAGGTCCAGCTTATGGCTGCTAACCATTATCCGCCGTGCCCGGATCCTAGCTTAACCTTGGGATTGCCTAAACATGGTGATTTTAATCTAATAACCATTCTTCTTCAAGAAATGGATGGTCTTCAAGTACTAAAAGATGGTCAATGGCTTGCAGTTGAGCCTCTCCCTAATGCATTTGTGGTCAACATAGGCCACACTTTGCAGGTGCATCTCTATGCTATTTACGTTTTCATTGTTACACTTATATGACTCACTTTACTAAAGCACGTAGTCCTTGCTTAGGACTAACTTTGAGGTTTTATGTATCATTGTAAGAAGCTTGAGTCGGGTTGTTCTTTTACAACGAAATTTATAAAAGTTTGAAGTCGAGTTATAACTTTATTTAAATTCACGTTCTTTTGTAAAATTTGAGTTTGAACTCGAGTTTAAGTTTCCCCTTCAACTCGAGTTCATAAACTCAAACTTAAGTTAATGAACAATATTTTTTCTATTCTTAAAAATGCTATAATTTTTTTGTTTTAATTTTGATTGAGATGATTTTTTTTTATGCATTCACAACGAAAAGACAAATAAAATCTCATCCATATACCCTATTAAAATTTTTCATCACCATTTAGTTTTTATTAAAATACTATCTAAATACAAATTTAAGTTTTGACCCACCCAAACACAAACTCAAATAGATTCTCAATTCAAATCATAATTTAAATGTGCACATCCAAACATAAACTGAAGTTACAACTTCAACATTCAGTTTACAACTTCAACACAAGTTATAACTCAAACTCAACTTAAGATCATCAATCAAGTCACTCTAACTCAAAAATACAAAAGAACAACCCCTAAATCTTCTTTCAACATTTGCTTTGAAACCTAAAGAACTATGTATTAATTGTCTCCTTGGTCACTTCGTCATTTGTACTGTAGATTATCAGCAATGGGAAGCTAAAAAGTGCTGAACACAGAGTTGTGACAAACCGAAAGCTTGCTCGGACAACGGTAACAAGCTTCATTGCTCCTTCAAATAGCTGCCAAATTGAACCTGCAAAAGAGCTTGTCAAGAAGTTTATTCCTCCACTCTATAGAGCATTCACATACAAAGATTTTCTTGCCACTTATGTAACAGATACTTATCAGAGAAAACCACCACTTGAGCGCTATAAGTTCCAAATTTAGTGATTATATAAGATTCTTTAGTCAAACTTGATCCACCTATGTAAACTGTGAGCAAAGGTGAATCTGAAGCAAATATTGATGGCTTTTATGTATCTGCTTTTACAATGGGAAGGTTGGTAGGCTCTTCAAGAGTCTTTTCATGAGTGTGAACTCTTTTCATTGTTAGTGCTTCACGTTCATAATGGGATTTTCTGTTTCTTTGGTGATTTAACTGCTTAATTACTCCCTACAGTTTAAGAGAAAGATGGTCCTTTTTCTTTCGGTAATCTAAGAGCAATTTTTCAGCTTCTTAGAATATAAAAGAAAAAAAGAAAAAAGAGGAGTAAGAAAGGAATCATGTATAGATTGATTACTTTCTCTGGCTCTTGAGGCTTGTGCCATTGGTAAAGAAGAACTGTTTTGGATAAACCAGAGCCTCAATTCTTTGCAAATGTACAAGAAAAACAAAAATAGTTACATTTCCTTCTTAGAAGGATTGTAAAAGTAGAATATGCTAAAGCTGTGATATAGACCTTTAATTCTTGCTTGATTACCTCCTTTTTTTTTTCGCTGAAATCATCAGAGAGAGAGAGAGAGAGAGAAAATATCAAAATTAATTTTGCATTGGATTATAGTGGTTTATCAACTTTTAGTAAGCTAATGAATGACAAATGCCACTAAGCCCACCTTATCTTGGAAGTGCACAAATTGGATTAAATCACACAAATCTTACTTGTGGTTAGAAATATTTCTACCTCCCTTAGTGGGTTTAGGAATCACTTTTTAGTATAAAGTTTATTCCTAAACTACATTAATCAGCTTGACTTTTTACTGAATAACAGTATCTTTTAAGATTACATTACATGATGCCGATATGGTCAATGCCTGCGTCCTTTGTATTAATCTAATCACTAGTTGAAATATTAATTTCATTATATTCCCCAAAAGTTAAAAAAAAAAGTAACTTTTCTAAAGTTTACGTATTTCTTGGGGTTTGAACTGCTGTCAAAGCATAGTAATTGCTTTTCATGTTTGAGGATTTTCAATGCTTAATGATCAAACAACAGAACATTTTTGATTTGAAGTTATTTGTCTCTAAACATTTTGCTTTAAATGAAATTGGTAATCTTACTATTGCAATTTGTAGTTGACTACTTTACTAGTACTTGAATAAGCTGTAAATGGTACCAACTTTTTGAAGCTGAAATAATCTCTAGATATCATTAATATCTCTCGTAGTAGAAGAGAAAAAAAAAAATGCCAACATTTTCATGATTACAAAAGTAAATTATGGCTCTCTACATCTTGATAAATATATTCAAATGTAAAGTAAATTATGATTCTCATGGAAAATACTTAAGAATTCCAATACATAAAGAGATAACATGCATGATGCCATTTCAAAGTATAGAAGCTGGTTTTTTATTTTGCAGGCCATATCGGTGCTCTTCTTATTTTATTTTTCCTAATTGATTTTTCCTTATATCTGTTGATTACTACGTGACTTGGTTTGTAAAGTTTAGTTCAATCAATGTAATCATGAATTTTTGCATCAAGTTATATTAAAAGTTGGTTAATCCCCACAATTTAAATTCATAACCATCATTGCATTGGATTCTCTACATGGCTTGATTTGTTTGGGCCACAGTGAGTCCACACTGAGAGAGTTTGGTATATTGAAAGAAGAAGCCCTATTGTGGGAAAGCATTTTATGGTTTCTCATGCTTTTAATTTTTTTTTTTTTTTTTTTTGGTGGTGTACTAGAAAGAAGATTGCATTTTTTTTTTCCTAATAAAAAAGAGATTAATGGTGTCCTAACATTCTGATTCAACAATTATTTGACAATCTATTAGGACTACAGATGAAATGAAAAGAAACCTGACACATGTTTTGAAATTGATTCTTAAATAAAAGTGGACCGAGTCTTGATAGGTCATTTTTTGTCGTTATATCATCACCACCAGTGGTGATTATAATTTTTTTCCCCTTAATTTATAGAAAAAAAATCATTTAAAAGGTGTAATTTTTCGTAACTAGGATATCTTTCTTATTCAAGTAATGGCCACTGCTGTCACACACAAATATACTTAACATTGGATTTCAAATGGGCTTGCCATATTCACGCCTATCAATATTGACTGAGAAATAGAAAGAGAGAGATATCAAAGCATTACTCATGACAATGAAGACTAAAGAGTCACCTCTCTAGATCACATGTTAGTAAAAAGCTAAGCTACAAAATCTGCATAAGATGATTTTGGTTCCCAACTGATTTAGGGAGAGAAAGAGTAAAGAGGAGAACAAAATTCATTTTAAAGAAAAAGAGGCCACTTTTGGAGCTTGAATGAGATTTGAAAACTTAGAAAAATTGTCACACCCACATCTTTATTATAAACTTTGCTACATTACATAAGACTTACCTCATATGGGATTCAGACCAATATGATGTTGTGGGATTATGTAAATAATAAATTGAATATTTCCCATTTTATTACATGTAGAGAAATCATTCTCCTTTGTCTCTTTGTATTCATGACCATTCTCTCATTATTTTTTTTTTCTTTTTTTTTTTTTTTTTTTTTTTTTTTTTTTTTTTTGTGGGGGTTTACCAGTGGGGGAAAATGACTTATCATTTACCATCAATACCTCAGCTAATTCATGCACAAGCTAGTTGACTTTGTTCAACCAATGGGAAGAAGCTAACTTCAAAGACATAAATTCCTCAAGAAAAATAATTGATTCATCACAAAAATTAAGAGCCGTCTGCAGCACTAGAGGAGAAAGATAATGATCAAATTATTGCATTTTTCGGCAATTTGGAGTGGTCTGTATATAATTCGGTATTTTGACTTGTAAAATCTTTTAGATGACAACTACAAGACCAAATGGACAGCAGGCTTTTTATCTTGTTGTAAGTTTCCAACCGAGTTGTGATTATTATCGTGATTCGATAATTACGGAAACTTTACTATTTTCTTTTATTTTTATTTTTTATGCTTCAACATATGAATAAACAAACTGCGAATACAAGGCACTCATGATGATCAGTGCATAGCTATGATATTGCTATTTGTTGGTTTTAAAAAAAAAAAAAAAAAAAAAAAAAAAAAAACTATGATAGGTTATCTTTATGTTCTCATCGATGCATTATTTAATCGGAATTCTTATTTTTTTTTTAAATATGATTTTTGATATCCGATAGTATATGTTTGGGAATATTAAATTTGATTAAAATTACGTCAAAATAAAACAAAAGATAATGTAAAATTAACATGATAAAAATATGATATAAATATACCTGCAGTAAAATTTTAAAGGAAAAGCAATAAAAAAAGAAACAGCCCTTAAATTACTTCCGACAAATTGAATCTTTTTGGACTAAAGCAACATGGGTAGGTGATTGTTTTTGATAATTGACCGAGTGATCATTTTCTTTTCTTCCTCCTTTTTTAACAACCTTTCGTTTTTTTGTGTGTTTTGTTTGTTTCTTCTTCATGAGTGGTAATTTGGTATTGATGCCCTATTAATTATCGCAAATTGTATTATAAAAAAATCTCCACAAAAAACGAAGAAAAATGATTAGAAATCAATGACAATAATAACATAAGATCGCACTGTTATAAAACAAATTATGGGATTCGATAAATGATGTCTAGTAGGTGCAACGCAAGAAAGGCTAGTTAAATGAATGTGTTGTAGGAACATTGGAACCATTTGAGTGACTCATCCTCTACCAAAATGAGAGAAAAGTATGGAGCCAATCTTAATAATTTTGAGGCATAATAATCTTTGATCAAATGGCACCATCGGATGAACATCTAGTGGCTAGAAACTATTCTTTCCTTTTCCTTTCTAAAACACAGAGAACAAGAAAACAACAATTGGAAATTGCAAGGGTGGGTGGCAAAGTATGAAAGGGAACATAGGAACAATGAGAGGTGAAAGGTGTCACAACTTTTGGGCAATAAAATCATTGTTAAAAGAAAGGACCATTTTAAGGGGGAGAGAGAGAGAGAGAGAGAGAGAGAGAGAGGAGAGAAGGGTAAGTATAATTTTTGAGGTTTTGAAAAGGGAGAGAGGATTCTTTCTAATTTCTATCCTTGAAAAATGAGGGCAAGATAAGAAGCAATTTCCACTCTTGGGCATCATGTTGTTGGCCATCAAAGGACACCACCTAGAAAGTGTACTCATAGCTCAAATTTTGATTTGCCATAAATATTTGCCCAAAAATCAAACCCACCCAAATACAATACAATTCAAGTCATTCTAATCCAAAAACAAAAGAGTCTTAATAAAACTCTTTTTCTTTCTTATTCTGTGCGCCTCTTTTTATGCCCTTCATCTTTCACACACACTAATACACTAACACCACTACTACCACACTCAAAGAAAAGACTCCTAAAAGTGTCTGGTTCTAAAGTGCGCACGATGCGCGGGATAACAAAGGATGGTTTTTCTAGGGGTGGAGGGAGACCAAGATAAAGAGGTGCGTACTGTAGCACCGGCGCAAGATAAAATTTCCTTCAAAATAAAAAAGCTAAAGTGAACAGAGCGCCAAGGTAACTCACATATATATAAAATGTACCTCCGATTTCTCTCGTTTTTCAGTTCACAGTTCACACCAAAAACTCTCTCTCTCCTCTCTCTCGCAAAAAAGTCTTTGGCCATTGGAGCTTCTCTCTCCTACTATCCACTTTATCTCTCCACTTTCTCTCATACTTTTTCTATTCTCTCTCTCTAGAAAACTGGTGAAAAGCTGCATTATTCTCTAATGGCAGTGAATGCTCAAACTTGAATTTCGTTTAATTTTCTATTCTTCCTCTGAACAAGCTCCGATAAACCCTTAGATCGCCGCTCTTCTCTGTTCTCTTACTTCAAATCTGAATCTTTCGTCGGTCAATTCTCTCTCTCTTTCTAATCACACTCCTCCATTTTCAGGAACGATTGAGCATACAATTTCTCTCCTTTTTGGTTCATCCATGTCGTCGGATATAAGCTAGATTTCATCTCAAAAGTCTCGTCGGAAGCCGTTGAAAGATTTTTCTTTTTTCCCTTTCGGATCTCCAATTGAAGTTTCCTCGCGAGTTTCATGGCTAATTGCAGAGAATGTACCGGAGCCTACTGCGCTGGAATATCGGAGTGTAAAGCTGAAACTTCTAGGTTTTGAAGGCTTGTCGAGAGAACTCCGGTTTTCTTGGGGGTGGGGGATTCGAGTTTAGTTTATCGGGTGAGGGATGGGCACGGATAGTCTGCTACTACCGACGGTGGAACCGCCAATAAAGCCGCGAGCAGGGTTACGGAGAAAGCAGGCGGGTAGAGGATCATATAGGGGAAGTTAGGGCCCGGATTTTCTCGGAAAATTGAGGTGGGGATCTTTTTCAACTCGGAGATTTTACGTTGGAAAGAAACCCGGTTTGGGTGTTGTCTAGTGCGTTTTAGAAAGCTTTTGGTGGAGATGGGTACTGACTTGCAGCAAATACTAAGAAGCCTCTGTTTCAATACAGAGTGGAAGTACGCCGTCTTTTGGAAGCTCAAGCATCGTGCTCGAATGTGAGTTTTTAGTTTTTATTTTTAAAATTTCTTTGTTTTGTTTGCTTGCTGGAGAAATGGGAAGTGAAAGGAAACAAAGTTTGTATGTATAGTACAGTGGGTTTAGTGAATTGGAAAAGTGAAAGAAGCTCGCAATTTTATTTACTCGTTCATTCCGTTCATTCCACGTTTTTAATTCCAATTTTATTAGTCTTTTTTTTTTGCTATAATTAAAAACTCTCACTTAAACTTACATATGAGCTCGATTTGAAAACTCCAATCGACTGGAGGCTTTAGTACAGAATTGGGTTTAGAATTGTGTTAATATCTTATGCTTGATGTTGTAGCAGATGCGTCTTTTCGTTTTGTCAGCTGGGTGTGATATTGGTGTATGCTGTGCAGGGTGTTGACTTGGGAAGACGCTTACTATGACAAGAGTGAGCAACATGATCCTGCAGAGAATAAGTGCTTTAGTAAGAAACTGGAAAAGTCGCATGATGGACTTTATTCACATGATCCCCTTGGATTAGCCGTAGCTAAGTTGTCGTATCATGTATATTCTCTAGGGGAAGGGTAATGTCTCTTCTGATTGCTTCACGTTCTGTATAAATAAGACGAGATTTTTTTTTTTTTTTTTTTTTTCAACAATCAGATGGGCTCTAGACTTTACTTTGTGCTGTTTCCAAAGCAACTTCCGTATTATCATCAACAGTTGCACAAAATCAAAACTTTTTTTTAGCCAAAAAAGTGTGTAATCTTGCAGAATGAATTTTATTCCTTTATTTTACACTTGCAGGATCGTTGGACAAGTGGCAGTGAGTGGAAAGCATCAGTGGATCTTTGCTGATAAGCATAAACTAAGTACCTATTCGTCATTTGAGGTAAATGATTATTTTATTTGTTTACATGTTCTCATTCTTGACTTATAAAGTGAAGAATCCATAAATACCTACACAAGCTGAGGATTAATGAAGATTCTTTTGGGTGATTAGCACTACTCTGACGGGTGGCAAAATCAATTTTCTGCTGGGATCAAGGTATGCATCGTTCCTTTCTAGTACACACACGCACATGCAGATCTATGATATGTATGCTTAACTATGCATGCACATTTATGATATGCATGTTTAATTATGTATTTGTTTATACAAATGAAAATAGCTAAGAGCTTGGGACATTTGCCTTAAAAATGAGATTTAGAATTAGAAGTTTGTCATTTTACGATGCACGTAATAACCGTGGTTTTTAGTTGAATTAGCGAGTCATATTTGGTAATTATATGTTTAAAGACGAAATCATGAATACAATGGAAGCAATGATATTATATCATATGTTCAAAAGTTGTCATTTCATTCACCAATGAAGATAGTTAAGTTAAAACCACAACCTCGGTATAAAGGATGGTCATATGCTTAAACATGGCGGTACATCACTGCAAATGGTAACATACTACTGGCTTGTCCGCGAGCTGCATCTAATTCAGGAGTTTTGGAATATTCCGAACTATGAAGTTGACTATATGTGCTCGTTATGCATATGGATGAAGTCTTAGGTATAGGCCACTCTGCTGAAAGCTATTCAAATTTGAACTATTTAGGCCCCGTTTTGTTGATTCGAGTTGTCAACTTGAGTTAAAAAGTTAAAAAGTGAATTTATGTGAGAGAAAACACTGAATTTATGTGAGAGAAAACACTATAGCAAAAAAAAAAGAAGGG